TTCCAGTTCGCTGTTCTTTTGAGTGCCTTCTGCAGATCAGATTTTGTTATCTGGAGGTCACTCATTTCGGGAGTATCTGTTAGCTCCCTCTGACGTCGGAGCCATGTGGCGTCGACGTTGTGGCTCGCCGGGCGTTCCATGATGTTCGACCAGAATTCTTCCACTTCCGCCTTGCCAGGGATCTTCTTTACTTCTATGGGTTTCGCTCCCAGTTCCCGGTAGAACAGCTTCTGGTTATTCATGAAGCGCTCGTTATGCCGGAAGTAATTGACCTTTTTCGTGTACCGCCTTATCCTCAGGGCCCAAGCTTGGATCTTCATCTTCACGTTCTCTATGGCGGTCGGGAGATCGGCATCGGAGGTGATCTTATATATATATATATATATATATAATTTCAAATGTTGGACAGCATTTCTGGGACACCCTGTATATTATATATTACCCCTGAGGGATGGCTCAAGTTGTCGCAATTAAATCGTGCGTGGATTCCCGTACTAGCAATCACTTTTCGCATCCCGCAACGCCATCGGTTTCAGTCAGATGACCATATACTGTATATTGAAGGGTCATGGTGAATCGTACTGCTCCTTCCTTAAGGTTTGGGCGGATAGTGTTTCAAAGAAAATAACGAATATGTGCTTTTAACATTTTAATCTCGTGGATTTCGAAAACTTAACCCAGAAAGATAGCGTTTGTAGGTCTTAATGCTCAACTAGAGCGTATAGACTTGTCAAGGGGAGAGGATTACTATTTTTTACCTGAACTAGTGGGAATTTTCGAAAAGGGTCTGGCCAATTTGATTCACCCTGCCTACCCTACCCCTACCCTAAATACTTATTACTCGCCTGTTTTTTTCTTCTTTCATACTGTTTCTTGCTATCGACAGACACGAAGAATGACTTGGAAGAGGTAAAGGAAAAGGAGGAGAAGGAGAAAGTTGAAAATATGGAGATTGTCCACAGAATGAAGCTGATGAAAGTGAATGAGAGTGGGAAGGTTCAGCCCATCCTTTCAAAGGAAAAAATGGACTCCAACCCCTTGCCTCAGGTATGAGACCCCATTGGGATTTCAACTTCATTCTGGCACCAGATCGATGCCTCTTAGGGGGATGGCGTCACTCGATACAGGAATTCGCCGTCAATGTTAAAGGCCGCAAGAACCGGCTTTGATTGCGACGTTGTTGACGGTTGAAATGCAGTGAATGCATCACGGGTGCGGCTACCATAATGATATTCTTGTCCGGCTTGCATTGGCAGTCATGTAGTTTTGAATGCGGAGTCCTTTTTGCATATTCTTTGTGAACAATGAGGAATAATGTTCCTTGGTTCATCGAATCCAAGGCGAATGCCAAAAATTGAGGCATTGGGACGGATTAGAGGGGCGGATCTGCGAAATGTGAGATCCCATTTCGGAAATGGAAGGCAGAATGTATAGGATCTCCGCTTTTGTTGCTGTCGGCCATTAGGCATCTGCTTCTCTCGTCTTCAATCGGGCTGCAAAGTCTCATTCCAAGTTCTCCCCTTCTCCATGTATGGAGAAGAAATCTTGTACCGAATAAAATCACTTTTCATGCACCCAGTACAAAGGAGTGAAATCTCACACCCTCAGGAGCATTGTAATTTGAAATCCAAGGGAAGTCCTAGGATGAAACGAGACGTGATGCCATTTCCAAGAAGTTGTTGCACATCACTTCGACATTGCAGTTCCTCGATTCCATGAGTTTTGCACAATTAGCATTATAATCTCACATGCTGTACTTGACATCTTTCTTTTTTTCCACCCTTGGTTGCTGCTTTCTTTTGCCTTTCCTTGCTGAAAACAATTAGAAGGTTGCTAAATTAATTTCATAGAACGGGTAGAATCCATCCACATGTCATTCGATGCCAAGTGAGACCTTAAAATGTTCCTTAGTCCCTTTCTAATAAATAAATGTCATTGTGCCTGCCTCTGCCCTCTGTTTTCTCATCTTATCGTGATACTCGGAAGCCGGTGAAACAGGAAGATATGAATGGGAGGAAATGAGAAAAGGGTGATTTTCTGTGAAACCCCTCTCCTCCTTCTCGACCCTTCCTCTCAGCCGTGGATTGGGACTTGCAGGCATATAGGAAGAGGAACAATGGTGACAAGTTACCTCATTTCCCACCCGAATTGTCGCCAGACATCCGTCTAGTGTACCATGAAGGGGATGGGTGTTTCCCATTTCCTTACCATGTCTAAGTCCAACTAATTCCGAGCAAAATTACAGGTAATTTATGAAATAGAGCCTCATTGTAGAAGAAAGCAAAATGTATACTTAAATATATAATACATATATCTCCTTTTACAGAGGAACATTGTACATTTATTTGAATAGTATGTTATGCTTGAGTCCGCCATTCTATTCGGGAACTGCCCGTGCCTGTGTTTCTCGCCTCGATGGGGTACGCCCTTCTGCATTTCTCCTTCCTCTCCCCTCCCTCCCGGCCCGGAATAGGTCCTGTGTTCCGCCCCGCCGTCCATTTTATCGATAAATAAACCGTAAACGGTCCCGTCGTAATTCCGGGAATTGACAACGTTCGGCGTCTCATTGTCCTGAGTGCCACGAAGTGAGACGAGCGAATGTTTTTCATGCTCAGGCCATGTTTCATCGTGACGACTTCTTGCCCCCTTTAGGAAAAGGAAGGGAACTGCTTCGAAAAAGGTGGAGGAGACTCGAACGAGATCTCGAATGGACTAAACGATGAGAAGGGAATTGAAGATGAAGAGTCCGAGAAGGGAGATATGACGGAGAAGGGGAAGACCGAGGGAGACGAAGGGAAAGGAGACACAAACGCGCAGTTTCCGCCGACTGAGAAGTTATTCTCGTTCGTCCAGATTTTGACTTCCGTGTGCTCGTCCTTCTTCCACGGCGCCAACGACGTCAGGTCTTTATCCCACCTTGCATTAAGATATATCTTCGTTGTTGAGCCAAAAAAATAGATCTTTCATGCAAACACCAGGATGTCATGTGCGTGTTTTGTAGCGACGCTTCCGTGAACATTTACGGAAATTCTTCTGCTTGAATAACTGCTAAATTTCCCATGATTCACAAATGTGGGGATCCAAACATATGTATTTTGTTTTGGAAAGAAGCAATCGGACAACAATATAACAAAGCAAATGGGAAATTTGCCAACCCACTTGTATGGTGTGAGGCCCTATCCTTCTCGGAGGTGGACAAGGACCATATCCTCTTTTCTTACGAGTACTTCCCATTATTTCGCCTATATCGTCAATGACGGTACGATCAAAGGAGGCTTGCTACAGGGGTGGACTGGGCTTTATCTAGCTTGTATTGGTTTTTCTTCTTTTTAAGCCTTCATGTTTCTTGTGTAATTTTGAAATATTCACATTTTTCCACTGTGCAGTAATGCGGTCGGTCCGATCCTGGGGATGTGGTTCGCCTATCAGACCGGGAAGTTGTCGCACGTGATGGATCCACCCATCTGGATCTTGGCTTTCGGAGGAATTGGGATCTCGCTTGGACTCGCCGTTTGGGGACGAAGGGTCATAAAGACCGTCGGCCAGAGACTCACTCCAATCACTCCATCTAGGTGATTCCAAACTTCCATTCTTCTCTATTCCCGTTTGTCAGGCAGGAGCTGAAACCCTTAGGGAGGACACGTCCACACTGACAGTCACCAATATGGACTGAATTTTCCTGTAAGGTTCCTCATACAAATCTTGCGTGCGTGCTGTGTTTAACTCGTGCAAAAAGTCTGTACTGTAGTCAAATAGGAGGATTTTTAGACCATCGACGATTTCTGAATCGGTTCAACATATAACTACTATTGTATTTATATTCTCACCTCCTCCTCTCCCACCTTATCCTCTACTTGAGTTATGATTAATATATGAGTGTGTGGATTTCACATGGCAGCGGATTCACGATGGAGATGGGGGCGGCATTTACAGTGCTGATGGCGTCCAAGGTGGGTCTCCCCATCAGCACAACTCATTGCCTCATCGGCTCCATCGTCTGCGTCGGCAAAGTCAAGGATCCTCTTCAGGGAGTCCAATGGGGTCTCTTCCGGTCTGTTCCTCCCTTCTCTCATTCACTCGTCGATCCGACGTAATTGCGACGGGCGCCAATTTCATTTTTCATGCAGGAACATCGTGTTGACGTGGTTCATCACGCTGCCGGCATGCGCAGGTGTGAGCGCCTTGATCATGTTCATCCTCCTCCACGTCTCCCCCTGAACTCCCTTCGCTTGCATCATTTTAGCCATCACCCCTTTTCATTTTCAATTTTTTCCTGACGACATGTATTATACTATTTGTTCGTTTCTTTTAATGAAGGACTGCTTTCGTGGACGGACCAATTGGCTTCATATACTTCATTCGTGGGCATTTATCAAAGTTATTTATGGAGGAATTTCACTGAGAGTGAATAGGATCCGAGGAAGTGACCATGGATAGACCCAACCGTGTTTGCCCGGGTGCGGTTGAGGATACCTATCAGACCCTAGCTGGTAGCGTGATGAAATGGAAACCGAGCGAGTCGCTCGGATCAGAGCGAATCGGGATGTTTGCTCTCGTTCGTGTCTACGGATCGAACCGCGACCGAACTGCGATACGTTCTCGAGGTAGATCCGGCCTTATGAGTGATCCCGAATGCCGCTCTCGACGGTGGGCTTCTATGCGCGAGCTGGAGATGAAGCCACATGGAACCGTGCGATCGGTCGGTTTGGAGAGGCCTTTACTGAAAAACAATCGTAGAAAGTTGACAGACTTCTGTGCTGATAATGCCCTCACCATTGCCAACACCTTCCAGACGAGCGAACTAGCACTGAGGATCTAACAGTCTGACTGGAACCGCGTCCCAGCAATTACCGAACGAGTATGGAATCACTTCAGCTGACTAGCGGCGCCCTAGCGACCAGCTGGTCACGCTCACGAGAGTCACCGGCCACCCAGCTCCAAACTCGGGCGAACCTCAGAACGAGGCGGAAAAGCAACCCGTTTTGCAAAAAAAAAAAAGTTTTGCAGCCACCCGAGATGAGGAAACTCGTTCCTAGTTGGCGAAATACATAGCCAACTTCCTACTCGAGTTTCATTCACGGCTCCTCGAATTGATGCATAGCGCAAAAACCAATCCATGGTTGGTTTCAAAGTTGAAATGACTTACCTTTCATTGACGATATGCCTACGCGGCTTCCAAAATTTAGCTTCCTTTGTAATTCAAGATCAGAAAGATCAAACTACCTCCTTGAAAAGCCTTCTAAAGCACCAAAAATGACGCTATATACCGGGTGTTCATAAAGTAAGCATCTCGGCGCTATTGTGCCTAAATGATAAGGGATAGGATGGCGCCATGGCACAACTGTGACAAATGAGTTCCAGCACTACCAAATATTGCCAGAGGGGCGCCACCAATGCATAAATTGAATATTATCCAGTAATACCAAAGGAAAAATCGTTTAAAGACGCTTTTGATACCGCTGGACTGATCAATACGCATCACGAAGATGACAGAAATGCAATGCGGACAGAGACTAAAGCTTTCCTCCACAAATGGCATGGCTTCGACGCAAATTATGCCTTGGTGTCGCGCCCTGCGGCAAGATTCGGCACATGCTGCTAATACAGAATGGTTGCACCCTCGGTGGAAAAGAATCTGTAAGCATTGGAACCGATTCCCCGAGTGTCCCTCGTCGCACGTGTGCGATGGCACCATCCTTCTAGCGGGAAGGAACATTCGAAAGACGGCTTCTCGGGCAAAAGTCTTAGTTCCCGGGTCTCGGGTGACCACGGCTCCGCCTCCATATTCGTGGTCTGCTTTTCGTCGCCCTTAGTCCGCACGTGTTGCTCTCGGCAGCACAGCGTGCTCATGGTGGATTGTACCTGATTTATCGTAGGCTTATTTGTACTTGGGCCAAATTCGCTACCAAAAAGCAACGGCCCATCGACAACAATAACTTGCACACCTCTTCAGCTGGCCTAACTGCTACGGTTCGGCTTAATGCCACGTTCTTCAACGCTCTGCTGACATATCGGGACCTAAGATGGGTTGGTTCTTGGCCTAAAGGACCTAGACTTGAATGCAATTTTTATGCACAAAACAAGAAGAAAAGCTTTTTTTTTTAACCAGCTGGCTTCTTGTTCGGTTACAATGTTCGACGGTGTCCTAGATCCTACGGTATGGATGATGCCTGATGGATTACAATGACCTAGTTGAAGGACTATTGTTGCTCAGCTTCCGAATCACACTTGGAGTGCAACACGAGGTATAAACATGGACCCTTCGGCATACACAACAATATTAGCCGGAGAAAGAACGGGAAAGCAGGCCATGCCATCATTGCTAAAGTCTGGCTTTCCAGAATTTCTAGTGTAGGCTGAGGCCTAGGTTGCATGGAAGTGAATTGTATGAGATTTCTCTCATGTAAGTCTTTCAAGTCTTCACCGACAGTAAGGACATAGGGATCGATGTCCTTATTTGCCTGCGTTTCCTACCAGTGGGGATTCATTAGGGTATTTAGTGACCACCCCCAAGAAGGAAATAAAAATTAGTTTTGGACAAGCATAAAACATATTCCAGGAGGAATATTCATGAGAAATTTCTGATATAAACACTGCGATCATCCGTGCCTCGGTTCCAGGCCGGGCTAGGCGAAGGCTATACGAAGGAGTAGTAACGAGCTGGGTCAACTTACATTTCTTCTTGAAGGTAGATTCAATGTCATATGCTGTCTACTTTGTGATGGCCTCTACCTCGCGTTGCCTGATAATGTTAGTGACTTCCTCCAAGGTGCGGGCATCTCTTGTTCCGGAAAAGATCTACTAAGCGTGAACGAACCTCCGTAGATGGGGCATTTAACTTAACGTTAACAATCAGACCAGCTATCTGAGGAAGAGCACAAGGAGGACCACATTAACTCGGGAACAATCCACCATGACCGCCACCCTCTTCGTGTTTTTGGAGAAGTCTCCGTCGAGCGTTCGTAGCGTGAGGTCGTTTCTCTCTGGGTCCGTCAGCATGGTCATGAGTTAGCCGCTACAGTTATGTTTGTTCGTTTCAGTTATCGTTGGCGAAATTTTCGTTGTTCACGGTGTATTCAAAGAGCTTAGGAGGCTCCAATTTCTTGAGTACTGCTATAGGCTTTGATTTGCAGTGGCCGCTCGTGATATTTAGCGCTAGTGGGTTGTCTATTGGGTAGGCAGGGGAGGGCACTTGCTCCATAGACAAACCACCAGCACTAAATATCACGAGCCGCCATTGTTGATATTACGCATGCGTAAACTTCCACCTTACGTCCCTCTCCTTCATTCGGGTTGAAGACCACGAAAAAGGATGGAGAGAACCAGATGCCGTCAGAGATATCAAAGTTTATTTTTATTCCGAGCATGAGATCCAAAGTGAACAGAAGAAAAATTCCCACTACAGTCTGGGAACGGGTAAAGTTTCAACATGAATTATCACAACAGGAATAACTGGAAGTCGAACGGGCGAGACCTCCCCATCCGACTGATCAATTATTATTCTTCTGGAGCTTGACCCTCACTTCATCCCCGACGGTGACGAGCCTGACCCCCTTCCCCCCGATCCCGAAGCGCTGCACCTCCTCCGGCTGCAACACGACGGGCCGCCCCGTCGCGGGATCTATCTTCCCCAGACGGTACGTGCCCCCGTCGTCCACGAGCACGAACTTCACGTGCTCCAGGTCTTCTCGGGCGCCGTCGCTGGATCCCACTGAGGTCGACGAGACGGTAGATGTAGAGGGTGCCGATGAAGACTGCGCGGCGTGGATCGTGGAGTCACTCGTTGATGTCGGGTGCTGTTGCTCGTCCGTCGACGATTGTGCCGACACTTGGGTGACCGAGGACTGCAGGGGCATCGGGCTCGACAATAAATGCATCGAGGCTCCATCACTCGAAGAGACTTGGCTTGGGACCAAATTTGGTGGAGACTGCACCGTAGATCCCTGCCCGGGCTGCACAGAAACCTGGCTTGAAACTGCAGGTTGAATAGACATGCGATTTGCAGCGAACTGGACGGGGACCTGGTTCGATACGGATTGGATCGAGGCGATCCGATTCGACGCAGGAAGGGCAGAAACGATATTGGGCGCGATGGTCACGGCCGTCTGATACACCGGCACGCCCTGATACACTACAGTCGGGTGACCCACCGTTTGAAATAAAGGGTGGAACTGGACCGCCGTGCCGCCACCGAGAGATACGACGCTCTGCAGCTGCGGCTGCTGAGATTGAATCACGATCGACTGCAGCTCTCGCGTTCCGTCGCCGATCGAAGGAGAGACCGTCACATGGGGGGATCGTGCAGGGGAGGCAGGGACGTGCAACTGGGATTGGGTCGGCGAAGAGAAAACCGCCTGAAGGTTTGGAATTTGCACAACCTGGATTTGAGGGGCTTGAGCGCGAGGCTGAGAGGATCCCTGGGATGTAGCGACTTGCAGCGTTTGCATCCCGCTTCCAGAGGGGGAGGTCATCTGCACGGTCTGGATCGGAGATCCCAGTCGAGCTCCAAGCGGCGATGCAAAGGACGACATCTGAACGTTCTGCAGCTGATGTCCCGGCGAGGACGACACCCGGACGATACGAGAGGTCGATCTCGGCGGAGTCGACATCTTCACCGTCTGGATCGTCGGACCTGTCGGCGTCGAGACTTGTACGTTCTGAAGCAAGGGTGCAGGGGTAGAGCGAATCTGCATCTGAACTCCGGCAGGCGACGTCACCAGCACCGTCTGCATCGGGGAGGAAAGCTGACCGTGCAGCTGAGACGTCGATGATGATGTGGCCTGGACAGAAGTCTGAGCAAGAGTGGATACTGTGTAGAGTGCAGCAGAGGAAGTAACTACTCCAGCAGGAGCCACAGAAGTCACACATTCGGGCCTCGAGGGCAAAGACGATGTTTGCAAGAGAGAACGAGCAACGGTTTGAGTCCCAACTGCCGACACGAGGGTCGCCTGCCGTGTTTGATCATGACCCTGGATCACGTGCTGATGTTCGGATGCAGCCAATCGTGAAGACTCGGGCATCTGAACCACATGAGAGGACTTGGAAACTTCAGATTGAACCCGAACAATGCAAGGAGCTCCAGATGCAGGAATGCTTCTCGAATGAACCTGAACGATCCGTGGTGTCGAGATCAAAGGCTGATTGTGCCCCGATGCCACAAGACCATCACTTGACTGAGATTCAGACAGTGTAGGTCCATTGATGGCCTTGGTCACCAAAGACTCCTGTGGGCGGTTTGACAGCAGTTGCTGCGAACGTTGGATTGCCTCGTTCATGGACTGCACCATTCCTTCACTGATGGATCGCTGGATGTCTGTCACGCTCGCTGTTGGCGATCTTCCATCAGGGCGTTTGGCAGTGCGTATCACAGGAACTTGTGCTTTGGATGGAGAAGCATTTGCACCAGGGATCTCCTCAATTTCCATGGCCTGCTGAAGGATATCTTTGTTTGCAGGATTTCCCAGTCCCTGCTGTTGAGCTGTGGGGTGAACAAGGAGTCGCTGAGCTTCCCTTGCAGGGATCTTCAAGTTTACTATCTTACCCTGGCCATATGGGACAGGGATGGTGAGAGGGAACTTGTCTAAGTCCGTCCCAGGGGGGAGTTCGGCAAGAGACTCCTCAATCTTGCGTTTCATGGCATCCGAGACAGGAATCTGCAAGAAGCAACCAGGCTTTGGGTCTGGATCATAACACTTCCGTTTCCTCATCCCTGAAGCATCCTCCTCTTCATTGGAACCACCAATGCTGATTCGGCTTGTGCCTTTGTTCAAGAGCACAGCTCTTGCACCAGAACGTTCTCCTCCAATTATATTGCTCTTGACAATGGCTGCCTTGGCCTTCACTGCCTCCACCTTCTCTCTAAGCGAGCGGATATGTTGTTCAGGTGTCAGAATCTTGCTGTACTGAAGACTCCTTGGAGTGGATCGACTGGAGCCTGAAGAGAATGAATGCTTTGCAGAGGCAGCCTGATGATCATCTGGATATTGCCAGTCATCATCCGAATACTTTTTTGGCTTCCGCACTCGACCCCTGGAGCTTGTGGTCATCTGGGACAATTTCAAAGATGAATCTTCATCACTGTCACTGTTTTCCAGATCCACCACCTTCTTCTTCTTCTTTGCCTTCCTTTTTGCCTGGTATCTTCTTGTTCTCATCATTCCATCTGCACAGGAGAAATAGTTACTAATAATTGTGAACACATGTAAACAGCTTCTATAAACAAGTGGCACTGCAAGATGGACTCACCTGGAGTAGATGCTCGGTCAATTTCAGAAGGGTCACTACTGGGACTAGAATCTTGACTCTCCTCATCCACACCTTTCCCTTTGTCTTCTGAAATGACAGACTCAGTTTCCTGTGTTGGGGGGATATCTTCTTCTTGGCCAGAATCCCATTCATCAGCACCTGGTTCTGGTGCACTAGGGTCCCTGGAGAGATGCCAACACCTCAGGCTTAGTAAGAAAAGTTGGAGCAATGAAGGAAAATCACAGAGAGAATTTCTTGCTTGAGATCTGACCTGCTCAACCACATCTCATTCTCTTTGAACAGGCGCTGAAGAATCTTGCGTTTTGTCGAAAGGATCTTTGCTTCCCAGGGCTCCACATTCTCAAGCCATTTCTCAAGATTCTTGATCAATTGAAGCTCACAAGTCCTTCCCACACCAAGTGGCAAAGTTGTGCCCTGTGTGGAATAAAAGACACAGCAGTGCAGAGTGCAGCAGTACACAGCAGTGGAGAGTGAACATGATGGTTCACAGAGCATCAAAAGAATATCATCTGGGAACTCACCTTTGGGATGGGCTGCTGGGCCTTCAGTGATTCAATGAGAGAACGGAGGGATTCTACACTGTCTACTATCATGGCAAAGCCACTCTTAATGTCGTCTTCATTCCCATTTACTTTCTCCTCTTGTCTGAGCTCCTCACCTGCACAACTACCTCCTTCTTGCTTGATTGCATCATCACCATTTAGATTCACTACTTCATCCTTTTTCACAATTCCAACAAGGGAATCAGACACCTCATGCTCTTCCTTCTTCCCCTCTTGAATAGCTTCCACTTGTACCTCAGATTCATTTGGAATTATTTTCATTTCCTTTGCCTCTTTTGCAAAATCACTACTTGTAGGTTCACCTTCTAAAACCAGTGCCCCATTTTCTTTTACTTCCATTACCCCTTTCTCACTTGCATCTATGAGATCATCTGCTGGCTTTTCCTCTTTTATCACAGTCTCATCAGTTTCTCCTTCCTCTTTGAGCAAGGGTGGAAGAGGTTTCCTTGACCTTCTTCTGCCTCCTCTTTGCCCTCTTCCTCGCCCTCTCTTCCCTCCTCTACCCCTGGGGGTTTCACACATGCTGACACTTGCATTCTTATCCTCATTTGTTGCCCTGCTGTTTCTGGCTTCAGACCTCCGTTTTCTCGGAGAAGGCTCCTCCTGATGATTTGCAATTGGAGTGCCTTTCCCTGCTGACTGCCTCCTCAAACCCTGGGTAATTACCATGAAATAAATAGTAATACTAATTCTTTACAGTACATCATCTCTGCATAAGGCAATGCTTCTCACTCTTTTATTTGGAAAGCATGCCCTCCCTCTTCTTCTTCCCCTTCCTGACCGAGTTCGTCTTGACCAATTTTCTTCATTCCCTGGGTCTTCTCCTTCTCCTACTTCGTCATCCTCATCACCGTGAACACTTCCTTGTCCTTCATCCTCTTCTATTGCTCCATCAAGCTCCTCATCTGATGCAGGTTCTGAATAGTTTGGCTTCCCTTTCTGGAAGAGAGAAACAATTTTAACAAGAATGACAGAATTTATCAGTCTGGCTTTAAAAAGTGTGAGTGGTACCGATTTGATTCGTGCATCCTGCCGTAGTCGACGCTCTCCTTGAGTTTGAGATGCAGCACCAGTTTTTCTTCGTTTGATCCCAACATTTGCTTCCCAGTCATCATCCTGAGGGAAAATGAGGAAGATTAAAACAAATGACAGGATATTGAGAAGACTGTGCACTAATGTCTGAAGCAAGGCAAATGGAATTAAACACCAACCTCACTTGCATGGCACCTCCGCTTTCTTGGTCGTTTTGGGGACCAAACTCCTTCATCTTCACTGGGAACATACAACACAGGTCCCATCTTGTAGGCACGCACACTCCAGATAGAAAATTCTGGGAAGTAAAGATATGAATAGCCATCTCGATCGAAGCCAAGGACCTTGGGTCTGGGGGATTCAATTTCCCTCACTGCATTTCCCACTGTCTTGTGATTTTGCTGCAAAAATAAATGTTAAACAGATAAAAGTTAGGAAAAAGAAAGTGTTTGTTCTCAAGTGAAGTGTAAAAACAATGTGTACTGAGCACAAAAATTGTCATTAACCCTTTCACAGTTACAAACTGAAATATCAGTCATCCTCCAGGGATGTTTAAAAAATCTGGACCATGAAAGGGTTAATGAAGTGCCAATAATAAGGTCAGGGAAGACTGACCAGGATCCAATCACAAAGGGACTTGACAATCCATACTCGTTGCTGATAGGTCAAGTTGTGGAATGCTGTCTCAACAAATGGACTAGTCTGGCCGAGTATTTCCCAGAATTTGGGCTCTACACCCAGCACTTCAAAAGCCTGTGCAAATAGAAAAAACATTGTCTAAAACTCAAACAGAAATCTCTCAGAATGAATTTTAATTAAAAAAAAAAAAGGGGGGGGGGGAGCATTGATACCTTGGAAGGATTACACTTCTCCCTGTGATAAATAGAGTACCAGCGAGCAACTCGATTTCTAAGTTTCTTGATCCAGATGGAATAAGGCATTGGATGCCGACATGTTGGGATGGAAGGACGTTGCCGTGGACGACTAGAGCAAGGAATCAAAGAAGTTTTGTCAACATCAAACAGAAACAATGGTGTCCACAAAAAGGAGGAAGGGGAGGGAAGCCCACCACAGAAGGGAGGTCATGAGATATGCCAGAGAAGTGCTTGCTTGGGGGATAAGGAACATCCTCTCAAACTCATACTGTGAGATCTCTCCAATGTTCAAGTGTTCCCGAATCATTAGGACAAATTGGCCCAGGAGGGGGAGCTGAAAGGGCAACATTAATGAAGGGATTTATGATGATTCAGTAGTGTCCTATCTAGCATAGAATGAAATTCTCTTCCCCTGATGCAGCATCATCTCCAGTGCAAAATAGCACTTTTTTTCCTTTTCTTTTTCGAGTTGAATCTAAACCCATATGAAACATTTTGAAAAGTTTTGTCAGAATAAATCAATTGGCTTTCCACTGTGCCTTACCAATCCATATTCAGTGCAGGTATAACGTGCGCTCTACCATAAGGTTCAATCCACCTCCCGGGCAAGTGAGCAAAACCTCGCTTGCCTGGGATAAAAAAGAGATGACAAGGGGGGTTAATTTTAGTATCTGCTACCATGCCTTTGGGAGAAAATAAGTGTTAATATCATACATATATCTATATGGATATATGGCAATATATTTTTCTTTCTCATGGCATGTATTCCTATGCCCTTCCAGTCTGGTCCAGTCATTCCAGCGAGACCTGTCATTGCACTGGCACAGTTGATGGATCCCCATTTATCTTCTCCCAGGTTCAGTGTCAAAGGCCAAAGAGAGTTAACCTACTTTGGAGGATGATGGGTCAGTTGGGTTAGAAAAGGGTTGCAGCCGAAGGCTGTGATTATTTTCTAACCAAACTGACCCATCATCCTCCAAAATAGGTTGACTTTCTCACTCCTTCAGCCTAACACAGAAGGAATGTGGACAGCTCCTTTGGTATGTGTCTATAGTTCGTTCTATGCAGTGCACTTGGGTTAAGTGAAAACCTAAAAAAAAGCATATAGGGAAGTGCACACTATACCAAGAATGTCAAGGTAGAGCACCTGCACTTAATATACAGTTCTTGTATTTGCCTTTGTCTATTATACATGTACCCACATTTTGAATAACTGAGGAGTTCTCTGGAAAAGGGGCATATGTGCCCATACACCCTTTTTCCATATCCGTGTCCATGTGCTACTTTAGGCGACTAGTCATAGGATAGGGTGGTCAGCTAGTAGTTAAGATACGTATTCAGTAAAGGAGAAGCAGATGTTTCTATGCTCTCACTAAATAGCAGGCCAACTGCCTGGTAATTTCAAGATGGCTGCCTCCATGAATATTCCATTAGCACTTGCATGCTGAATGATTTTGGTGGAATTATTTCATCCTTTTAAACTGAAAGTGAAAATGAGGAAGAAATCAAACACGAAGAAAGGGAAAGAAAGAGGCCCAGTCATTCAAGCTTCTGGAAGGATATGAGAAGTTAGAGATATCCATGAAATAGTTAAAGAGTCAGATGATGAATGCATTAATGATGTATCACTGCTGAGTATTTGATGAATGGAATGTGTCCTGACTATTCACATTTTCATTGCTATTTTTCAAGTAAGAGTTTATTTGAAATCTGTGGATGCATTTATTGATTAATTATTATTTTTAACCAGAAAGAAGTGGTGAAAGGCTCAGAAAATTTCAAGTGCAGATATGGAAAAAGGGCGTATGTGCATAAACACTTTCTGCCTGGATCCCAGCAATGTGAAGTAAAGAAATTTGTTCAAACCTCAAGTTCAATTGGAAAAAGGTCTAAGATACCATTTTACTGATAATTAAGTTTTGACCAGTTTCAGATTAGCTATGGGAAGTTTTTATCATTTATCTCAAACTGCATCTTTTGCACATACACCCTTTTTCTAGAGAACTCCTCAACTGTGTAATGGAAGGTATTTAAATAACCTGGTAGCATTACTTATTTATTAATACCTAACACAATCTTTTTATCTCTTCATACACTTTTGGTTCACTGGAGATGCTCAAATCGAGATCCACCAGCAATTAAACACTTAAAAAACAATAGTGACAAAATTGCAAGGATTGGAAGAGTGGGTACATTTTTCTGGGCCACCCTGTATATGTTCTAATAGGACAACATGGGCATTAATCACACAGTGCAGGGTGAAAAACTGAATCCTCCTCTTATGCTAACATTAGGATTCCAAAACTTCAAAATTAATTACTCAAAATATCCTCTGTGAGATGGGATACTGGTAAAAAAAAAAAAAAAAATTCAGCCAATATCATAGATAAAAGCCCTGAGCTCCCAATGTTGTCACTAACCTCCCACATAGTCCTCAGTTGGGTCCCTTGGGACCCAGAAAGGAGAACATTCTTCTCCCAGTCCATGATGACTGATTCCTTCTCTTCCCTCTCTAACCTCTTTTGCTCCTTCAACTGCTCTTTTAGTTCTCGGATGCGTTCAGGGCGTGCATGCCTCACCCGATACAACACATATGAGAAGTATCCCTCTGAAAATGCAACAGTAAGAAAACACTTGCTTCATCTTTGCCTATAGACATACTTAACACATTGAGGACGGGTTGTGTGTTTACTCATTTTTTCAAGTACGTACAGGAAGGACAGGTCACATGTAAACACGTTTTTTGTGTATGACCTAGAACCAAGCAACTCCTATCATCTGTTGAGGGTTTTTCGAACTGCTTGAACAGCTGCCATTGAGTAGGAAGCTTGTAGCTTCAAGTTAAGTTTGCCTAAATTGCCCAGGAACCAGGGGTACGATAGCACGTATTTGTCTGGTCCTCAATGTGTTAAATGACTTTGGGATGAACAGGTCTCCTCACTATTGCCACGTGTTTCTCTTCGCTTCAGATGGCTGGAGACATCATCTAAAGGAAGGCCTGATGTAGCCTCCAGACTCACTTTCTTCTGCATCTCTCTGAAAAAAAAATTGTAGCATGGAAAATGACTTTGAAAAAAAAAAACTTCCACAGCATGAGAACGCCCACTGCATATAAAGACCACAGGGAAAACATACTCTGGGAGGACGGAAATAAACTTTTCCATTTCCTCTTCCAGGCGTAATGCTTTCTTAGAGACTGAGTGTCCAGATCCATTATATCGATAGCAGTTTTCAAACATGAGTCGAAGATCCTTTATAATGTCAGCCAGGGTCTCATATTCCTGTTTGTCCAACTTCTCCTTGACTAAAAATGGGAAAAAAAAAACATATATATATATTTTTTTTTTTTCTAATTGCTTGATAAAAAAGGAGGCTAACATATCTGCAAAATTTCAGCACCACTCTTCAAGGCTTTGACAATTTCTCAACTTCTGAAACATCCTTGCAGACTTTTGCAAGAGCAAATTCAGATTAACAAAGAAAACTCATGCACATCAGGAAATTACCATGCATTTCTTTAGTCTCCTCAACCCTGTCACTCCACTTTTCAAATTAATCCCAATCCATCATCAAAACATCTCAATTTCCTTCTCCTGGGGTGGGGGATCATGAATCATTCCAACATTGAACCAATTTTATACATAGTCCACACTATAACTATTAACTATTTTCATAAATCATAGTTTATGCATGGAACTAATCACATAATTATTAATGCTAAAAGAGCGAGAGGGGCACAATTTGGATGATACTGTTCTTCAAGCTCAATTTACAGCCAATAGGTGCCAGCTGCCATCTGATTCATGGATCTTTTTAACCACAAACATGTGAAAGCTGAATATAGGCCAACACAGTGGCTAACATATAGGATTACTTACTTTTTCGAAGCCACATGGGTTGGGTGATGACCTCATCATAATCCCATAGATTTTCCAGCTTTGAGTCAACTCGCTCCAGAAATGGCCAGTTGTATGTGTCCAACTCTTTGCTCATCAACCTCATGACAATACTGCAAAAACCAGTATTGATTGGTAAGAAAATCCAAATACAAAAAAGAGATGTGACCATTTGGACACACAATATGAACAGTTCAAACAAACCGATAGCCATCCTGGAGCTCAGGACTAAGATGAGATGGAACAATGATAGAAGAATCTGCTAACTCTTCCCCATCTTCGGCCTCATCATCGTCATCATCATATTCTTCCTCTTCCTCTTCTTCAATTTCCTCTTGAGCATCAGAAAAATCCTCTGCTTCATCTCCCACATCATTTTCCTCATCCTGAGGTTCTTGCTCTTCATCTTCTTCTGATCTGCTGTTTGTCTCTCCAGCTTCACAGAGATGTTAAAAATTAAATGTAAGAAGGTTCAATGCATTAGGCTAAGCTATACTAATGTAGAAAATGCAAGATGCACATAAAATTGGCCCAAAATGAAGGGCATGGGATCTATTGATGTCCACCAACCTAGGTTTTCTATAGTATTTTCATCCATTTCCAGTGAAGAAGTTGTTGGTAATCCAATGCTCTCTGGACAGTCGCCTTGAGAAGTAGGAACAGAGTCTGATGACAAAACAATGTCTTCTTGAACATCACAAGCAACATCTGATGATAAAACATTGTCTTCCTGATCATCACATGCAATGTCTGATGACAGATCAACGGTTTGTTGATCATCACAGTCTTTCCTTGCATCAGAGATGCCACCACCACCAGGATCATGAACCTCAGGTTCACTATGAGATTCAGCATTTTGCTTTTCTGCATTCCCATAACTGGCAGGGTTACAGACAATGACTGAGTTTTGGCGACTTGGATTCAAGATAGCCTTGTTTTCTGCATTCTGTTCACAAGTGACAGTGTCTTCAGAGCCAGAGCTGCCATGTTCAATCAAGTCTGGTGATTCCATGTGCCTAGCTAGTTGTTCCCATTGCCTAGGCATCACGGATTGTTCCTGTAAGAGATCGTCACAGAAACATATCTTAATGTTGGACTTCCTAAAGAAATTAACTGACCCAGGGATGGTTGAGGAGACTGAATGAGCAAAAGAAAATCAGAGTTGGGGAACCTGGAGAGAAAAGCAGGCTACACTCTAAACAGTCTTTCCATATGTTTGATCTCATCCAGAAAATGAATGAGTTCTGAGCAGCCAGCATGTAGTCAGAAATACCAATGCAAAACTTTCATCAAACATATTCCCTTTAAAAACTGGAATTGGTAATTCATTAAACATTTAATGTTTTCAGAATGATAGACCTATTGAAATATGTCATACATAATTCAACTAAATTTCTTCATAGTGTAGTGCCAAAAGGAAAGGGTAGCTCAAAATGCAACAAGCACTGAATCTGCCATTGGCTTAAGTATATGAAAATGAGTGACATGAGTTACAGACTACACACATTTACAAAGTAAAGAGGTACAACCTATGCATATTCAGTAAATCTCTCTCAAGCATTACATTCAAAATGACAATAGTCTTAAGAGACATCTATTCCATTCATAAAACATAATTTATTGAGCTATCATTGATTTTCACTACTACTAAACACAATAACAATAAATTTATGAACAGATTGTCAGTGTTAATATACTGGGATATTGAATGTGTGAAAACTTCAGTAATTGACTTTAAAAAATTTGTCAAACTTGCGCACAATGGATTTTTTCCTTTTGAGGCCTGTGATTTTCTTGTTTTCCATATGAAAAAAAAAATTTCATTCCATTAGGAAATACAGTGGAACCTGTGTAATACAGCCACAAGGGGGACTTTATAAATTTGGCCGGTTCTGACAGGTGGCTGCTATAAAGAGGGGAATTCTCTCCACTCCCCACTTTTTCCTCTAGGCAAACTGTGAGGTACTTACCAGTCAGTTTTTCAGGAAAATTATAAACATTGTATACTAGAAAGGTACTCTGTACTTCTGATTTTGTCAGGTTTTAATTATACTATGTACACCAAGAAAATTTTGGTGACCAATATTTCAGTGTGAGGAAGTCTAGAATGTTCAATTAACACGTATGCATTTTGCGCAAGCACACTCACTCAAGCTTCATGATTGCTTCAACTGACTTGTGCATCCCCTTCTCTGCCAAAAAGCACTTCAGCTTCTCCGTAGCACTTGATGGCCCTTTAAGTATGGGAGCAAGATACAGGGAAGAACTAGCAGCAGGTCAACACTCTTGATCATTCTCTCACTATCAAAACTCCAGAGATGTGACCTTGACAACCAAGCAAGGATTGGGGAGGGGGAGGGAAAAGAGGTAAGCTGCAAGGCAGGGAAATAAAAAATGAGGAAGGAAATGAACCTTCAATCTTCTTTCCCTCCTGCATTTTGGCCGGATTAAAGAGTGGCCAGCAGTGGGTCTACAAATCCTTGGCTGCTGGCTGCATTAGACAGGTGGCTGGATAAAACAGGTTATTTTAACATTGAACCTATGGTGCTAACAATTGGGACTGAGCACTTCTGGTGGCAAATAGGAGTTGGCTGTAATGTCAAGGTGGCCAAATCCACAGGTTTCACTGTAGCAACATTGCTCTCTCTGGTCCAGCTGCAAGAAGTTTCCAGGCAGCTGGAAAATTTGGAGAGTCAAAACAGAGAGAACATGAGTAGATATCTCATCACAATCAGTTAATTGAAATAGGCCTCCACTTCAAAGGATTTCCCTTCTTTTCAGAAAAAAAAGAACTTGTTAGCAAGCATGGAGTTCCACTTTCTAATCAAAAGGGGTATTCTTTGTAATTAGACTTCCAAGAGACATTGTTTTTCTTCAACAGTAAACTTTCCAGTTTTCTAAATAAGTTCCTCTAAAATCAATCTAAAATTAGTGAGTTGGAACCCATTTAAAAAAATAGGCACACCTAATGACAAGGCAATATTTCTTCATGCTTTACAATAGGTCTATTTATGGATACCAGTGATTGAGTTCTATCTAGGTTCCAAGAATGTAGCTGAAAATTATTCCTAATACAGTGTATGAGTCTCCCTCCACCTTCTTCAGGGCAGAGCTCGGCCTAGGCCTCGGTGCAAAAAGGTCAAACTCATGGAATAAAGGTTGAAATAACCAGGCTGAACCATGTGTCATAAACGAAAGACATCAGGAGTCATGGTGGAAGGCCTGTATGTTTCAGATCATGTCAAGGGAAGGCCAGGCCATCATGCCTTGACTAACATTTTAAGCCTACCGTGAAGTCCAACGTCAGCTTCGATCTAAACCTTATGGGAGGCTGACTGTACACTCGGTGGTGACTATGCGACAGCGGTTACTTTGTTCACTCTTCACCTGGTGTGTTAACCACCTGGCTTCTGGTGGCTATTGGCTGCTAAATCCTAGATGGGTGTTGAGGTCAGAAAAGAGTCAGAATTAACTGCAAAGAAACTATAGGCCATAATCGCAGCTCACATGATTCACTCGCATTCATCAATCCCAGTGAAAGCCAGGATTCGAGCCGAATGGCCTCGCATATGACACCTAGCAAAACCTTACAGCACCAAAGGCACACTTTAGGCCAAACTCATTGTCAAATCTAACGGCCTTGACTTGTCTACCTCAAACCTTATGCTTGCCGATAGGGCGAGCAGCTGAGTTCAAGGCTATTATACGCTACTTTACGTGAGCATCTACCAACACACCGGAGCTCAGCGCATGCTTCAGCCATATTAGAGGTGTCCCCGGGTTGAGCGGAATTACACACACACTAACGAGTACATCGACTACAATTGGGACGTTGAAGCCAGTGCTCTGACGCGAACACTGGACTGGAAGACCATGAACACAAGGCACAAAAATAGCCAGCTTATCCTTCTTTTGTCAAAGAATCCATGGCATGCCACTGCTTGATGCCAGCTGGAGCTTGGTGGCTAATCGCTATCAGAAAAGCATGTGATGTTCTGTCAACGAAAGTCTTCGCTTACGCAGGAGAACTTCGTTGCGGTGCTGTGTTGTCCCTATGAAGGTGGTGGATTAGGATGCTCTTCCCCCGAAAAAAAATTCATTTCCACAATAGAATCCTTCCAGAAATCCTGCTAAATTTTGATTTCTCACCCAACAGCTCACCATCGCTATTGGTGATTTGCAAGCACTGTACTTCCAGCTCAATGCTTTCTGATCTGTTGTGCTTTAGGAAAGTTCAAACTCTGCATTCGAAGGTTAGTATAATCTTGAAAACAGACAGATATGAAGGTATTTGCAACAAGAAACCGATGGCAGTGACCACCGAACTGCACACTAAGCACTCCGGAAAGCATCGGAACGGACCGCGGGACCCAGACGCCTCCGCATAGGTCTCTATAGCAGGTAGCGCGGAACGGGAAAGGCAGTAAAGGCAGAGCTCACGAGTACAAGGACCTCCTCCTAGTTCTCATCTCGAATGATAGATGTCACTCGAACACATTTCCGTTTTCCGGATTCTAATACGGTTTTCACCTGTGTCAAGACGAGAATGTTGCGGGAAGCCTTTCCGGTTCCGCAAAGCTTTCGAAACCGCGAATGAAGGGGGCGACAACGGCGCAAAAACGGAAGGTGAAGCAATCGATCGCGTCATAAACATCGGTGAAATGAGTCAACCCAAGACGGGATCCATCGCCTTTCCATCATATTCCCTTCTCTTCAGGTCTGGACAAACGGGTTCAGAGGCCTGTTCCTCGCCTCCGCCAAAGTTAATCTAAATTTAAACTTAATCCAACCTTGCCCTGAAAGTATTGGAAGAAGTAACCAAGGGAGTCCGTTTAGTTGCACAGAACATGTCAGAGACCCCAAATCTTTCATTTGCTCTTGCATCGCCTACATTAAACCTAAATCTAAACTGAGTTTAGAGGTCCATTCACGTGAACCACATCACGGCTACCGGTATGAAATATATATATTCCCGTCTTTTCCGCAAGTTAGAGCGGAGATGTCATTAATTAACTTAGTAACCCAGAAAAATGAAGCGAAAAGGTCGTGGATTGAAGTGAAAAACCACCTACATCACAGCACATATTTACACGAATATTCTCTGCCATTTGTGTGCACCGATGTTGGATTCTCGTGTGGAATTAGCATTAGCTTGGGTCTGCCCAGTAAAAAAAAATATGCCCTTTCAGACCAAGTTTATGCAAGAGTCTGGGCGAGGAACAGACTTTTCGTTATTGTGCTATTCTTTGATTAAAGTTTAGAATAAGTTTAGCATACGGCGTGGAACAGGCCCCAGGACCCTCCGAGAAGTGGCCAGCAGCCAGACGAGCATGTAACAATTCGTGTTTTCAGTTTGCAGAAGTGAACTTCAGAAACCATCGCATTTCGCACAAAAAACAAACACAATATGTTACAGACATGTAGAACTAACTACATAAGCTCATTGTAAGCTATATAAGCTCATTGCGCTACCTCGACCGAAGGTCAGGAAAACTTCTTTTGACCTCATCCACGAGGCGACGATTTATTCCTGCCGTGAAAAAGAAATATCGAAGAAAATCTTTCCACTCATCCTCAATTTCATTATGTTTATTATAAATGAAAAAAAAGTGTAAAAAAAAAAGAAGAGAATAATCTATGGATCAAGTTAGATCGTCCCGTCTCCACGATCCTCTTCTCGGGAATTTCACGGGTCGGAGGTAGGGGTTGTCGATCGGGTCGGGGGGGTCGGGCTTCCCCGGTTCGCCGCCTTCGTCCGACTTGGCCACGCCATCGCCCTCGCCGCCTTTCTTCTCCTTCTCCTCGTCTTCCTCCTCGCCTTCTTCCTCACTGGACCCCGCCTTCTTCTTGTGCTTCTCCTTCTTCTTCTTCTTCTCCTTCTTCTTCCTCGGCTTCTTCTTCTTCTCGGGCGGGCGATCAGGGTCGTCCTCGAACCGACCGTCTTTCGGCAGCAGCGCATGCAGGTACACGTTCCCGATCGGCTTTGTCGCGATCGCTGGGGAGACGAGAGACGACATTCGACGCGGGATCGGTACAGCAGATCGAAAGGCGTCCTAGGACTTACCCGAGAACATTCCCGACGTGTCGGGGGTGGGGAAGAGGAGCTGGGTCTCCCCCGTCTTGGCCATGAACCGCGACAGCGCCCGCTCCACGTCCCGCTTCTGCGCCGCCACCTTCTCCCGCACCGCCTCGTATTCACCCACGGGCTGCTTGTACGTCTGCACCCAAAAATCCAAACGCGAAAAAAATTACTAAACCCGCTACAAGAGACCCTCATGCAGCATCCGATCCGTGAGGCTCACCGGCGTCCAGATGTAAGTATGCGGATCTGGAAACGGCGGAAGATGATCCGGTATATGCGCCGGATGCTTCTTTCTCGTCCCCGCCTGCAACCCCGCCGGGTTCTTACTCTGCATCACCTTCCCCGGATTCGACAGACTCGCCCGTCCCCCCCTCCACGCATACCCCGGCAGCGATCCCGGCTCCGGCCCCCCGAGGTACGCGAGGGCGAATATCACGTCGGGCACGAGCGGGCTCGTCCGGTTCGCCAGCTCGCAGGCAGTGTGAGCCGTCCGGCCCAGCTCCGTCAGGACTACAAGGGTGCAAATTCCACGCACGAGTGACACGTTTTGATATTAAATTGGTTATTAATCACAACTCATATGAGACGTAATTATAATCGAGATCCCGACGATCGACTCTCCATGATCCACGAGGCTAGTGTTCGCATTACGCCATGCGTCTGTTATGGATTTTTTCATATTTCGGTGCTGCTAGGAGTCGAGAGATGAAATTGCTGTTTATGCTCCAAAATATGACTTGGACGGACTCGGGGGGACATGCACCGAATCCGTTTAAGATAAACTAATCTGATCTCGTAAAGGCACCCTATGGGAATCAGTTTAACAGAGATAAACTTATTCCCATTGACGCCTATTATGAAAACGAAACAGTTTAAAGTTAAACGAATCTGGTGCATGTCACCCTTCTCAGTTTGGGAAAATTCCCAAGGAACTGCTTCACAAGCTGCTTTTTCGAGTTCTTCTGAAACTTCCGAGTCGATTTTCCCCTTTTCCTTCTAGCATCAACCGAGGGTCATTTTGCAATTAAAATTTCAGTTCAGCAGCTTCACGCTTTCGGGAACATCAACTGCAAACTTCAACTCCAGTACAAGAATGGTCCACGACATGACATTAAGAACAGCTGACCTTGGAAGGTCTAAATTGAGAGTAGTTGCAAAGAATGGATCAAGAAAACATTCTCAATCTTCAAGGGCGGGCATTCATGAAGGTCATCATGCTTAAAGAGACACGTCATTACCGTAATAAACTCGATTCTCTTCATCGCATTTAATTCCTCATTTTCTACGGTCTCTATGCTTTTACGGGTGTCGGTCCGAGTTACCATGAAACTCAGAAAAGTGAAGGGCACATTCCCTCCTCAGGGGATGACCTGCATGCGCCACTCCCAGGAAGCGGAGTCCTCTGCTGAGCCTTTGATGCAAGCTGACGTCATCCGCCACGACGACAGGAGTCCGATGTTACCCTCAGGCAACGGCCACGTGGGCGCCACGCTGTCCATGCTGGCATCGCCGTCATGGCCACGCAAGATGTAAAATAGGCATGCGCACTGAGTTAATTCTGTTTTTCGAATGCCTAATGGATATCCAAAAGTACCTGAGGATCATTAGTCGGCGCAGACGATTCCAAAGCCCCATAGGCTGGCATCTTTGCTTAAAGGCGCACTATCGCACAAGACTCTTATTATGTTAAGTGTAAAGGTTATGGCTTTCAATTCGTAACTAACTCACTCCCCCCCTCCCAAACATGATAAACTCCGGGCCAAGTTGGTGCGAACAGCGCATGACCGACGAAAAAAAAGGAAAGAAAGAACGGGAGGGAACCGGAGTCCAACGACCCCACTCTCCCGGGGCTGGAAACAATGAACCCGATTCATGACCGGCCGGTCCCGTTTCACCCTAGCCCCAGCCCTTCCCCGGTTAATATTTTTTTCCCCTCCGATTTTTTTACCGTTATAGACCGTTACGCGAGGGGGATTCTGCCTTTCTCCCTCGCAAGGACGGGGCAGTGAAAGGACGTTAGTCGGGGGAGGGCCACGTCAACGACCTCCTTCACTTTCCATTTCCATCGCCCCTGACCGCCATCACTTTCCCTTTCTACAAAAACATGCTTTCCGTGAATGTGGCGAACGGAATGGAATCTGCCCCTTACGGAGCGATCTCTACCGAGGGAATACGACATGAAAACGCGACTATAATGCGACAGGAGAGCGGACGAATGCAAATAGGAAGGGGGATGGGGAGGGTGCGACAGATGAGGAGAATGGGAAGGGCTGGTTGGATCGATGAAAAGGGAAAGCGGGGAGAGAGAGGACAGTAAGGTAACCTTGGCCCTTTCGGTGTTGGCCTTGGGGAAGAACGAGAATGAGAGAATTTTGGGGCCAGGAATGGAGGCCAAGGTCCCCGGGATTCTCGTCAAGGTCCCCGTCCTCCGTGTCCCACCCCCGGAGAATGGACTCGCCCGATCCCAATTCCCTACCCATTGGCTCCCTTCCCACACCCGGCTCCTCCCCGATCCGCCCTTCCCATCCCTCCGATCCGTGCTTCCTGTTCGGTCAACGGCCCCGGCCAGAGTCGAACCAGGATAGGCACAGTGCTGATCAATCGGCTTTACTATATCCTGCCTACACTGGGAAGCGGGACAACATGATTGCATAAATGCATTCGAGCACTTATGGGGCCGAATACCGATTCTGTTGCACGAAGTGATAGTAGAGACGACTCGCGATTCTTTATCCTTTGTTCAACTACGCTGCTTCTGAACCTTTCAAACCTGAAATTTGATTTTCTGTACAATTGGAATTTTCCCATTTTCCAATCTACAGATATGTTGCTGAGGCTTCTGATGAAGTGATGGCGAAACTTCTCTCATGGAACATGAGCATCTGAAGCCATTCACTTCTGGATTTGTAGGCGAGAAAACTCTCCGTGGAATTACTAAGTTACGGGTTCAGTTTAGAGCCCGGTACAGATGTAAAATAGGGTGGGTGATGCAAATCCCGACCCTACCATAAATTCCACCCCCCCGCTATGTATTTCAACTTGATCAGAATTACAAGCAGACTTTTTCAACCTAATTACGCAAGTGCTTGATCTCTAAAGGTGAATGGGCGGTGTAAGTATTTTCCTCTCGATCTGCATAGATCTCAAAAAGATTAAGTCGTGGGGGGGGGGGGGGGGGGGGGGGGGGGGGGGGGGTAGCCCCAAGAATCCACTCGCCACTTCTTAATCCGGCCCTGAGTCTACCCAATCGATGAAAGTCGATTGTCGATGCAGCAAGTCATGAGTCGAAAAATAATTAGGTCTTATGCACTAAAACGTATTCAATTGAGTGAAAATCTGCTCAAGGGTCCCTCGACGTTATCCAGAGAACAGCATTACGGGCCTGTGGAACCTCACAAAGGCTCATCGGCTCGCCCGGCGCATGTGCTACGGGCAGACATGCGCCTGCAGGGACAGGGAGGCACTGAGACGAAGACGCCGAAAACAACTGGCATCTTTCGCATCATCGATAATGTACAGCAGAGCACCAAGAGCGAAAGCGAAGCGGTACCTAAAAATACCTACTATGCAACGCATCCTCCGCGAGAATCAAAGGCGCAAACAGATTGAGACACGAACCGCTGAACTCATTCCCTCAAGACACCTCTGGATGTAATCGATCTTTGAAAGCTGAATAGCATTTGTTTGCTTTTTCCGCCCTCTTTTTAAAATGTATATATCGACGCCTTATTATATTGAGGTTTGCAAGGCTACAGTAACGTCAGCATTTCTTTTGGGAAGAAATGGATCAACCAACTACTTATTCAGAAGGGCATTTTACAGCTTCTGAGGATGTGGTATTTTAAGTCTCTGACACAGAAGAGCAACCGGTAAAAGCGAAATGGAATGTTACACTTAATGAGGCTGATAGTTAAATGGGCACAATTTATGGAATAGTTTTCAGAAAAGTCAGCAAAAGGTCACTTATTATTTCAAACATAAGTTTATTGGTGGTAAGGAGTCATGGGTAACAAACGGTATCTTTTGATGCTGTCATTGCACAAATTTGAGGTAGACTTTGAATGTAGACATGCACTGATGTAGGGTTTATTTTCAAGATGAGAAACTACGATATAAATACCATAACTACCATATATAAATACCATAACTATGCTGCATGAGGTGAACAAATCAATAGATGCAGAAATAATTACTTCAAAGTGGCCTTTGGTAAAACATGCAACCAGCCTCCTCCCCCCCCAAAAAAAGAGAGATTATAAAGAAGCATTCAAAGCAACTGCAAGGTTCGCATTAACTTGCTATAGCGAGTCCCTGATTCATACTTTCTGGTGGGACTCATATTAGCAAAACATCTAAGTCTGTGGGACTCACTGACAATCACTTGAACATGTTCCCACTGAGCTGAAGCTAGGCACCAGGACTCAGGATTTTAAAAAGCTAGTGTGAGCCCTGCTATTGATAGGTATGGTATAGATCCATTGAATTTATATTTTTTATGCTTCAGCATGTCCTTTATTCACTCTTCTGAACCAAGGAGTCCACTTGAACAATGTGGTGGCAGCTTTGGCATCCTTTTTTACATCAGGGTTTCTATTGACAACAATAACTTCCAAATTTCACATCTAATTTTCAGAATTAATTCTACTTTTCCAAAATCCATGGCAACAGAATGAAATATATTTTCCTAAAATGGCTGAAGAAAATTACCAAAACAAAACCAAAGTGATGACAATTTATATTTTATTGTTCCCTTCACACCTAGAAATCACCACTCAACTCTTAAAAGATATGTACCAAATCATGGTACGTAGTACAAACACATTTTAGGATTGCAATTTCAGCAATTCAAGCAAAAGAAACAAATCTAAAGGTATTAAATGGGATAAATAGAGAAAAGCATGCATATTCAGTAATTTTTTAAGACGAAAGCTAAGGACTACAGATTAGTTCTTGTGCTCCCTTTTAGCTGCAAACAGACTTAGGTAGAGGGATTCAAGTCTGATAGCAGCCAAATGGTAAAAAAAGAACTCAAGGTAGGCCTTGCCATTATTATGTGAGAGGCTTGATTAATACAACCTACCTAATTTGGGAGCAATAGAATCGGCAAGAAAAAATTAAAACCTCAAAATCCCTGACACCAGATTCTTCTGGTCAGTGGAATCCAAGGTTAGGCCAAGGTTAGGCCAATTATAGCAGACTTTATATCGACCCTAAAGTTATCCTTTCCCAAAGTTATCTCACGTCTCATTTTGCTTCGACGACTATCAGGATGGAGTCGAACTTTAAATCGGGCTGATCTATTAGAGAAAGTCCCTCACATGAAGTGAGCATTTCCGTAAGGGTGTCCAAGACTGCTCTCTCCACACTTTCAAAGCCCAGCTCAGAACACAAGCAGGAGATGGCATTTTCGAGGATCTTCCTTCTAGGGTTCTGCACACTTCCTCCCTCCATTGTCTCTCTCTTGTTTCAACTCACTCCAAGGAAAGTGGAAACCCCCACTAAGTGACTCCGGGGAGTCTGCAAGTGGCCATGATGGATTGAAACTAGGGATGCCTGTAATCAAGGCCTAAATGGACTCTTCTTAGATTCGATCTCAATAAAAACTAAATTGTAAGCATTTCGATAGATTTAAAAGGTAAATAATTTTTTTTTAAATAAAAAATTAAAATTTTTCTCAGTTGACAACTCTGCATAGATGTTCTATTGTCTCTTATTCATCTACAAATATTGCATACCTGGCGAGGAGGCATTAGTATTTGAATTGCGTATTACGCTGGCCGAGCTGTCTTCTTTCCTGGTTCGCTCTTTAAGTTCTCCATTTTCGGTTATTTTATGCCCCAGGCCTTCATTGCCTTGACTTTATTCATACTTATGCAATACAACATAGATATGGAGTTTACAACTTATTTTTCAGATCGATACGTTGGTCAGGAGAGTGCACATTTGAGATTATGAACTGATTTGCTTTGTGTTACCCTTACTAGTTAAGCAAATGTATATAATGAAATTGGAATAACGATTTCTGAATTTATTTAGAGACATTATATGAGCTCCCTTTTGTATCAGTATTCGCCGTGACGTGATTCTTATGTTTTCCGTCTGATTTCCAGGGTTCACGTTAACTTGGTATAGCAAGTCCCTGACTCATATTTGCAACACATCTAAGTCCATGGGACTCATGGATAACCACCTGAACATGTTCCCACTGAGCTAAAGCTAGCGGCCGGGACTCGAAGATTTAAAAAAGCTAGTGTGAACCCTGGATTTCAATACTTAGCTCTTGAACTGGATAGGCTTTTGTTTGCCTGCGGAATTTTTGCGACACAAGCAGTTAGGAGATGCTCATGTTGCCTTGGGTGTGTTGGAACACACAAGGACATGAGTCAGCTGAAGGGGCTAATGGGCATTATGGGCTAATGGAGCATTCATATACTTAACAAGGACAGGTTTGTATTCCTATTGGATTCAATATTTTTGCACTTGGTTCCAACACACCTAAGGCATGATGAGCATCTCCCAACTGCCCCTGCCACAAAATTCCACAGGAAAACGAAAGCCTATCTGGTTTAAGAGCTAAGTGTCTGAATCAGCTGGAAAATACAAATCATGTCACAACGAATACTGTATTCAGTCTACTCCTGTCCCTGTGCAGTGAGACATCCCTTGGTGCAAAGAGATATCCACCATGATGTGGTTCTGAGAGATGTTACCTGCTTCCTTGGCTGCCAACTTATATCCCCACTAACCTAATTCTGTGGAATGATGGCCCAAAATATATTGGACTGGCCTCATGATTTACTTTATGCTTGGTAGTTAGGGGTAGTGTACATTGCATTTCTGGTGTAGAAAGTAAACTACTTGTGATATGTTAGTGCCAATGATATCCTTATTGATAACATTATGCATAATCACATGGCAGGAACTGTTCATTTGGATGCATTTGGCATAAAACAAGATGGAATAATGTTGTAAAAGTTGATAGTGATGATCGTGAGATTACTCTATTCCTCTCTTGTGACCCAAAGGCTGCATGTCTTGATACGAGTCAGGTTTTGTAAATTGAAAACAGTTTCTCTTCTTCCAATTCTCGGACCTGATCTTGACTTGTATAATATCCATATCATAATTGAATCACTTGCATAACAGTGATTTGGTAGATCTGGAGTTGACATACTGTGTATCCCATGAGAGAATAGACAAAGTTTGAGACATTGGATAGGTGATTCTCTCATTTCTGGTAATGTTTGATTACAAAGAATGGCATATCCCCTACTCCCAAAGGGGATAATGCTTGTTATTAAAACACGATCAAAGGCTAGCTATTTTGGGTAATTAGGCCGATTTGAGGTAAAAATAAGAAATTTGGCCCTTGAGCTGTTGGTGAAGGGTTGCCTTTTGTTGCCAACTTGGTGTAGGGATGGGAAAAATAAAATAGGATCTCAATCCTCTAACCAATCTGTAATGGCAAATGAACTTGCAGGCCAGATGGAACAAGTTGGTTTCTTTCAAATATATTCACACAGTATTCCAAGATGGTTGCCAGTAAGCCTTGTGGCAGTGTAAAATTTAAGAGCAATGCTTTCAATATTTCATGGGTGACTGGTATTGTAAAACAGACTCGACAAATAGGAATATATATGCTTCCACCCTGGGCAACTGGGCAAAGATGACAAGATATGGTGCATCTTTGATACTGCTTACACTTTGTGTTCATTGCATCTGAAAGCAGACAGTGCATGAAAACCTTGCTGTAACACATCCACCACAGCATAGAGGAGATATTGATGGCTGCAGATTGGGCCAAAAAATAGACCCTGACATTATTAGTTACACAGGCCTTCATTGAGGCTGTGACTTATAAGCCTGAATTGATTTATGAAATGGATTACTATGCAATAATTGAACCTACCTCATGATTCAGAAAAAGCTGAAAATAGCTTACTTTCCCTTATGGCACAAGTAAACTGCACACAAGTTCACTCTGCAACCCTGTTGATCACTACTTCCTTGTCAAGGTTCATAAGTATGTAAGTACTGTTGCCATGAGCATGAAAGCCTCCAGGTCTCTTGTGTTAGGGCGCTCCTCAGTCGATTCTTGATGAACTTCAGTGCGGAGAAGCTTCTCTCACAGGCAACTTGCGTGAAAGACAGTGTCAGTAAGAATTTATAGGCCTGACCTATCACAAGATAGACTTCCGTTGGTAAGTTGTATTGCCTTGGAACTTGAAAGCAACAAATAGCGCTGTCCATGCCTCTCGAGCATGGCTTCTGCACCAGCTCCATTTCAATGTCATCTTCATTTTCCTTTCTCGTGGCTTCTTCAGAAGTTGTTGCTCTCGTGACCGAATATTCTTCTGGTTTTGAGAATTGAGGTATCTCTTGCGCTTCTCCCAATGCAGAGCAGGACTGATTAATTCACATCGTAAATTATCTGTCATAAAACTTCCATCCTTCCATCCAATGGAAGGGAAAAGACCTAGAGGAAGGAAAAGAATTGGCATGCTGGAGGAACTGAAGGAAGGGTCGTTTGTGAAAATGAAGAGAAAGACGGAGAACAGATTGGAATGGAGAAGATTGGATGCCTAGGACCTGCCAATAGGCAGAATACTTAAGAAGAAGAAGAAAATTTCCATCAAGCGTTTGCGTAATTCTTCCAGCGCCAGAGCCTGGAGCCCATGATCTATTGTATCAATGAAGTTCTCAGGGTCCAGGCAAACAAGGTCAGGGGTCTGCTGCCAAGGAAACAGCGATGCATGCTCTTGCAGACCTTGTTGAGAATTACATTGTGGACTTGAACCCTATAAGCTGTAGCAGCGTCTGAGATTGGTTTATCATGAACGGATTCACCGGTCATTTTCTTTCTGCTTGACCACTTCGGGCAAAGCGGCATGTGCTTCAAATTCACAATCTGAAAGTTCTTGCAGATGAGCGTTGGCCCAAGCCACAAAATTATATGCCGCTTTCTTCACGATGTCGAAATCTCTAGCAAAATTCTTTAATTCCTTCCATATGGTATACAATATTTGATGGGCCTTTATGAAATCCATTCCCCTTGTTTTAAGATATTTCGACAATGGCATCGTCAATTGAAAGACACGCAGATAAATTTGAGCTGTGGGAACTGCCTCATACTTTTAATAGTGACCATTTATAGGTCTTTGCCTTCCCGCGCGCAGGGCCGTTTCTAGGGGCGGGCGAAGCGGGCGATCGCCCGGGGCGCAAGCGGGGTAAAGGGGGAGGGAGGGGGGGCGCCGTTGGAACTTCTTGCCCTGGGCGCCAACACGCCTAGAAACGGCCCTGCCCGCGCGCATCTGGTTTCGACCTCTGATTCTCTTCAGTCTTCGCTAATTTGACAACCAGGGCAATGAATAAAGCTTCCTCCTGATTTGCAAATGATCCGAACACTTTTCATTGTGTTGTGTCTTCAAGCCACCTGCGGGTTTGGCAGATCATAGAGAGCTTGCGATGGTGCATGTCCATTCCTTAGCATGATCCTCGAAGGAACACTGCGACGTCGTTCATCAGACTGAAGAGTGACGCACTTGCGGCGACAACCGCTGTCAACTCTGCCAGAACTAAATTCAATACGTGTGCATAGACATGAATCCGGTCAGAAGATTCCGTTGATAGCCTCGAAGAGAAGCCGTTGTTTCGTCCTTGCATGTTGTCTACTTCATCCGTTGAGTTGCCAACGTTTTTTCTTATGTCGATTTTGCTGGACTTGAGGATCCGAGCCAGTAATTGAAACTAGTTTTCTCCAGTTTCAGATTCGCTATCTACCACTGTCTGAAGCCTCTCGTTAACGCGTTCTGTGACATACCGTATGATGACAGAGCACTGATCTCTTGAGGTTATGTCCGGAGTTGCGTTAAATTACACTAACACCCCCGCTTTCCTCACTTCCCTTGCGATGGTCTCCTGAATCTCCAGCTGGTGAATCGTCCCAATAACGGTATTAACTATTTCTTTGGAGAACAAAGTGAGATGTGATCCTCGGCCTTTGCCTCCCGAGGAATGCAACCACTTTTTTTTCTACACTGTCGCTCACGTGTTCTTGCAGAACAACATCGTATTTGCTTAGTAGAGCGAGCCAAAAAAATTAACTTACTGACTCATTTTCGCGCCGGGGATCATCAGCCTATGACGCTTGACTCCATCGAACTGGAGCACCTCATGCGTCATGCATGATCCCGAAGCACGAAAATGAGTCGGCAAGTTAATTTTTTGGTTCGCTCTGCTAAGCGAATAAGCAAATACGACGTGGTATCTTCCCAAGTTTTACGTCTATCACCCGCTCCATTTCCTGTCGCCTCTTTCGCACTCATTCTCGTCGTACAGACGTTTGATTGGGAAACAGTAAGTTCCCAATGCTTGCGCTGCTGAACTTGAAGTATTTAGCTTCTGCACAATGTGGAAGGACAGGGTTTTGCTGGGCAAAATACAGGTGCCTGAGTAATTAAATACGAAATACAATTACCCGATAATAAAAAATGTGTTTGCAGTACAAAATACAGTTGAAAATACAAAAATCTTCTAGTTTACGTCTTTTTTGGCCAAAGATCAGAAAGCTCTTAAATCTTCAGACTATTGGCTTTCAACAACACATGTTTCTCAAAGCTCTCATCTCTCATTGATCTTCTTTTTGGGGATAAAATCATTCCTGCATAAGAGAAAAGTCTCTCTACAGGGGCTGAAGAGGGGATGGAGACATTGTATATCAGTTGACAGAAGGAGTTGGACAGAACTAATTTCAAAGTATTTTGTATTTTGTCAAATGTACAGTATTTCAAAATAAATTTCATGCAGAGATTATATTTCAAATACAAAATACCTCAAATGTATTGAAATACGTATTTTAAATACTGCCCACCTCTATTCATATATTCAGACCCTACAATTTCCATATGCATTGATTCAGGCTCCAAGGAAAGCCGATCTTTTTCATTTTTAGACACCTTTAAAACTATTCCATTGGAGACATGAAATTAAATTCAGATTCCTGGAGAATCCTGTTGGACCATACAATATAAATAAAATGTAATGAATGGTTGGAATGCAACAGTAACCTCACAAAACAGTCACGCTACCGTCATCCCTTCAACCCTCAACTGCGCTGTGGAGAGCGGCGAAAAGTTTAATAATAATTAGCAAGTATGTTACTTATTTATTTTTTATACACAACATCCAAAAGATGCAAGGAATCATTCCCGATAATCAGGTGTAAAAAAAAGGAGCGTGAAAAGGGGAAAATCAGGTTCAATCGACACACACGAGGATGCAATCAAAAGGAAGACGATCAGGTTAAACTGCTGTATTCCAAGAAGGTAAAATGTAAGGACTTCCCGAAGGTATAACATTTATCTAAGGGAAAACAAAAACATTTTGAAACGATGCGCCACGGTCCTCCAGACACTGCAGCTTTATGCTGCTACTTGAGGTTCAGGAGTGGATTACATAAAACTGACAAGCGTAATGAAGCTTTAAACTTCCACTAGCACTGCTAAAAGGTTTAAAGCTTTATTACGCTAAAGTCAGTTTTATGCATTCCACCCCAGTTTTTCCCTCGCTGAGTCCGAACCCGTTGAACAGGATAGGGAACGTATGAGGAAGCTTCTCCGTCCGCTTCAACCTAATTAGGTTGAGATGGATGGCAATAAAAGAAAGTTAAATAATAAACTTGTGCGTTGTCATGCATGAGGTGCTTCAGTTCGATGGAGTCCATTGTCATTGGCTGGTGATCTCTGGCGCGAAAATGAGTCGGCAGGATATAATGACTTCCTTTCTGTTCCGTCCAAGAGTATGCAAAAATAATTCCTAATGACTAAAGTTCACAGAAAAGCGCCCCTAATAACGCTCACAATTAGTACATGAGCATTCTCCCCTGAACAATGTTTCTCGATATTAGNAAGCTGTGAAGGCCTACTTTTGCCTTTTTCCAAACAACGCATCGTTTGCAACTCATAGAAGGACAAATGAACTTATTGTTTTTCACTTATCAGACAATTTTTCAATGGTGAATAATTGATTCGTAATCATCATATTCTACATTTGCTTTTCCTTTCAAGTATATGGCACTGCAGCACGAGTGATTCCATATTTTATTGATCACAAATCTTTTGTAAATTAGTTCGGAAGTACCCTACCATTCCCTACCGGTATCGATGGGAAACAGACTTCCAGCTCACAAATGAGACAGAATGTGGTGGAAAGTATGATTCCCACGCCCATAAAAGGGCTAGAAGTGAAAAGAAGACAAGTTGCCTGCATTTACCTCGGAGGTAATCGTATAATCTTGAAGATGATCCAAGGGAAGGCAGAAGGGTGGAATTCCTTTCAAGGGGTATTCTGAGAATACCCCTTGAGTACCTCGCGGAGTTAGGTACACCCTTAAAATAACAATTGACAATCTCCTTGTCCTCCCTGCGGAGTAAGGGGAGGAGAGCTGTGAGATAATCTACAGTACTTATTCCCTTGTGGTTATTCATTTAATTTCAAGTAACTGCGGAGTTCATACCGAAAAAAATAGGATGGCCAAAAGCAAGGTAGATAGAATATATTCTATTTACCTTTGGCCGAAAGGTCTTCGAGTGTTTAACTTTAATATGTGGATGTATAGTCTTTCTTGTTCTTTCAATTTATCATTTAAGTCGCCCATAGTTTATTAATTTCCTCATTCTTCTCGCTGACCCTTACGTTGGATTTGAAAAATAAAATCAGGTAAAAGTGAAAGTAAAAATTATAATATATTCATTATTAGACATTATTTTGTTATTATTAAGTTTGGGTGGGAAACCGGTAAACGTGTTCCTAGTACCCGCCAAGAGAAGGACTCCAATATTTTGAAAAAAAAAGCGCTGCCAAGAAGTGGCCCGGTTCTATCTGCTGTCCAGGTCATCTGAAGGCAGTGCCGAGTGATATCCTCCCCCTCCCTTCGGCAGGGACACGAGTCGGTCACGTACCTAACGCTATTACTAACTCTAATCCATTATATAGCTATGTGGAAGCACTGGAGGAACGCTGCAAGCCTTATTCTTGGCTGGAAGAGAAGACCAGATGTTGATAAGCTGAAGGCAGTTGAAAAAATACTGTTGGTCCAACGTGGTGCTAGCAGTGACTTCATGGCTAAGGCTCATGTCTTTCCTGGAGGAGTCATCTCTTCTGCAGATTTCGATCCAGAGTGGAAAAAGCTATTTCACTCTTCAGATTCTGCTATTGAGGCTCTCATTAAATCTGATGAGAGGCAGTATGCATTCCCTATGTATGAAGAATATAAGAGTCAAGGCATCCAAAGACCAGGACTGGCCTTGAGGATCTGTGCACTCCGAGAGACTTTTGAGGAAACAGGGATTTTCTTGGGAAGGGCTATTGATTCTCAATCACCAGTAATCTTGAGTGGTTCTGATGTTGGTGATTGGCCAGACAAAGTAGCTCAACAAGCAGATAAATTCCTGGAATTCTGCCTCAGCTACAAATACTTGCCAGATGTGCTTAACTTGCAACAATGGACAAATTGGCTGACACCCAGGGACAGGAAAACAAGGCATGATGCCATGTTTTTTTCAATGACCATATCATCGGAGGAACCACCAACTGTGATAGTGGACTCCCATGAGCTCACTAGCTTCAAGTGGCTTACTGCATTAGAGGCTTTGGAACTACATGATAAGTTGGAATGCATGCTTACTGGTTCACAGTATTATGAACTTTTTGAAATATCCAGATATGGGATGCCAGGAAACGATGCATCAAAGCAGGATCTAGTAAAAAAACGTAAGATGCGATGGATGCCAGTCAAGTTTAACGCAACCAACGGTTCAATTGCAGTGCTTCCTGGGGATTCCATGTATCCAGAAGTACCTGATCTCACTGGAGATAAACCAATTCCAAGTGTTGAGAATTCTATTGAAGAGCTGCGGTCTCAAAGTTCAAAGTTGCATAGGTTTGAAAGCACAGGTTCATATGTTATTGTGAAGTGCAATTTATGAATAGTTGAAATGGATATTCCTGTATATTCTCATTTGGATATAATATTCTCTCTGGGGTACATTATTCTCTCCTGGATATATTTTTCTTTCCTGAATATATTATTCCCTCCTGGAAATAAATTTAACATTCCTCCCTCAGGAATCTATATTCCTGAATATATAGTTATTAAGGAGTACAGAAAAATACATAATTAGGAAGGCAAATGACATCTTGTTCAAAATCAGGAATGGTGGTGCAAAATCAATGAAACAGATGTAGTTTGAAATTTTGCCAATAACTGAAAATTGTCAAAATTTGATACTTCTTTCTCACCATCTGGTAATAAGAAAACAGGCTAATTTTGCATGCTCAATCACCCCACCAATACAATTTCTCACCATCTTAGGTGCAGTCATCAATATTCTCACTTTAAGAATGAGAAGACTGAAACTTTTGCTTTTCTAAATAAACTTTAAATTACAATAAGAAATGGATTGTAACATTCTGCAAATAAATGCAAATTCTGACCCTTGTGATTTTACTTTAATATTGATCAACTCTCTATGAAAAAATGGCTGAATGGCTCTGAATTTAGTAATTTTTTAATGCATGTTTGCTTTGCAAAGATGAAGTCTCTGCGATGTCTTCACGATTACAGTTATAGGTTATAAAGAAGCATTCAGAGCTATTGGATCTAATAAGCACTCAAGTGCACTTTACCAAATTAACAGCTTCCTTCACTGCTGAGCAAAACCTTCGCCTGTTCCGCAGAAAGGCAGAAATGCCTGGTTCGAAAACGGCTATACTGCTCATGCAAGACTGGAAGGGATGAGGCTTGTCCCCGAAATGCTTATTTTATCTTGCTGTGGCACAGGAATGCTGGATCACTCAGGCGAAAACACAAAATCATTGCACGCCCGTCCCTTCTCGACGATTCTAATTCAGGTACCCGGTCACACCCCCTTTTTTGAGCACCGCGAGTCTGCATTACAGGTAAAAATTCAAAGAAAATTCATTTTAATCACTGAATCCCTGTTGAAGAAAAGGACCATCTTTAGTTTAGTCCAAGATATGTGGGTGGGGCCGATTCTTGAAACTCATTGAACGTCCCTCGTATGGCCCAGACAGAGGTGAGTCCGGATTCGGATAATCCGTGGTTCGGATCGGATCCGACGGTGTCAGGGCGGATTTCGGTCGGTTTCGTCTAGGAACCGTAGAATTCGAGTCGGATCGGATCGGTCTCGGTTGTGAAACTGTTCCTGCGGATCGGATTTACTCAATTGAAAAAATCCGGAACAATCCGATAAATCTGCATTGCGGGATGAGCCGAAAGAGGTAAGAAAGATTGCTCGCTTGCCAATTATGCATTGAGAAAAGAATACGACTGGCTCTGGGATCCAGAAATGTCAATTCCACGTCCAGACAATAGATTTTTATGTGAATGGAGAAAGATGGTAGCAGTTCTACCACCGGAAGACAGACTTTCTGCTCGAGTCTCTGCCCCCCTCCTGTCTTTAAGAATTTTTTTTTCCTGATCCACTGCTGTATTGCGTTGGATTTCTCCGTTCCTAGTGGTCTTTGAACTCCCGCGGTGTGCAATTACAATGCAAAATAACAATTACGTGCAGCAAATTGGCTTGTGAACAGCCGCCGCACGAATCTGAACATTCCATAATCTTTTATCGCTCTGCGAACGTACAGGTTTCAGTAGAAAATTTAGGATTTTTTCCGGATAACCGCGGATCGAATCGAACTCATGCGAGAAAAATTGAATCGGCTTCGGTTCGGTTAGGGTGGAATGCAAGTCGGATTCGGATCGGATCGGACTCGGAAAAGGCAGGTCATCACAGCCTTGAATTTATTCATACTTATGTTATACAACATTGAGAAGGGGTTTTAACACCTTCCAGATTGATGCATTGCTTAAGCGAGTACACATTTGATATGAATTGAGATGAAGATTTGTTGTCTGTTATTCTTAACAAGTAAGAAAAGGTCTAAAATGAATTTGGAATGACGATGTCTGAATTGATAACAACATTTTATGTTAGCTCCCTTATGACCAACATAAATTTATCAGTATTCGCCATATGATTTGTCAGTGTTTTCCATCTGATTTTTACACTTAGCTCTTAAATTGAACAGGCATTTATTTGCCAACAGAATTTTTGTGATAGGCAGCTGGGAGTGCTCATCTTGCCTTGGGTATATTACGACTAAGAGCAAAAATATTGAATCCAATGGAAAGACAAACTTGTTCTTGCTAAGTATTTGAAGGGCTGCAATAACTCCTAGGTCTAACCTGATTACTTCTAATCCATTATGTAGCCATGTTAAAGCACTGGAAGAATGCTGCGTGCCTTATTCTTGGCTGGAAGAGAAGACCAGATGTTGATAAGCTGAAGGCAGTTGAAAAAATCCTGTTGGTCCAACGTAGTGCTGGGATCAAGGATATGCCTCAGGGTCAAGTATTCCCTGGAGGAATTGTGTCTTCTGCAGATTTTAATCCAGAGTGGAAAAAGCTCTTTCACTCTTCAGATTCTGCTATTGAGACTCTCATTAAGTCTGAGGAGAGGCAGTATGGATTCCCTATGTATGAAGAATATAAGAGTCAAGGCATCCAAAGACCAGGACTGGCCTTGAGGATCTGTGCACTCCGAGAGACTTTTGAGGAAACAGGGATTTTCTTGGGAAGGGCTATTGATTCTCAGTCACCAGTGATCCTGAGTGGTTCTGATGTTGGTGATTGGCCAGACAAAGTAGCTCAACAAGCAGATAAATTCCTGGAATTCTGCCTCAGCTACAAATACTTGCCAAATGTGCTTAACTTGCAACAATGGACAAATTGGCTGACACCCAGTGACAGGAAAAAAAGATATGATACCATGTTTTTTTCAATGACCATATCATCAGAGGAACAACCAACTGTAATTAAGGACTCTCATGAAATTACTAGCTTCAAGTGGCTTACTCCATTAGAGGCTTTGAAATTGCATCAAAAGTCTGAGTTCTGGATTCCTCCTCCACAGTATTATGAACTTTTTGAAATATCCAGATGTGGGATGCCAGGAAATGATGAATCAAAGCAGGATCTAATAAATAAACGTAAGATGCGATGGCTGCCAGTCAGGATTAAAACATCCAATGGTGTCATTATAGTGCTTCCTGGGGATTCCATGTATCCAGAAGTACCTGATCTCACTGGAGATAAACCTGTTGCAAGTGTTGAGAATTCTATTGAAGAGCTGCGGTCACAAAGTTCCCAATTGCATAGGGTTGAAATGAAAGGTTTGTATGATACTTCTGTGCAGTGCAATTCATGAATGGTTGAAATGGACATGCCATATTTTATTTTCTCCTGGATATATTATTCTCACTTGGAAATATATTTGACATTCCTCTTTCAGAAGTCTATATTCCTGAATGTATACTGTAGATGCTGACAAAGATGGAAAAACACATAATTTAAAAGCCTAATGACAGCTCATTCAAAGTCAAAGATATTGACAATGCAAATTCCTCAAAAAAAGAGGTGGCTTGAGTTTCTGCCTGCAAGTCAAATTTTCCCCACTTTGCTATCTCTTTTTCACCATTCGGTAATAAGAAAACTGCCAAATTTCGCATTCTTGATCATCCACACCAATATAACTTCTCGTCACCTTTGGTGCGGTCATCGATATTCCCACATGAAGAATAAGAAGACTGAATATTTTACTTTATTAATAAACTGTAATTACAAAAAGAAATGGATTGTAGTTTTCTTCAAATTAATGTAAACTCTTCCCACTCGTGACTTTAACGTTAATGATGATCAAGTTTCCACGAAAGAAATGGCTCTGATTTTCGTAACTTTCAAGTGTTGATTACTGGCTGCTCTGTCATGATGAATAGAGCTTTTCCATTATGGTGTCAAAAACCGCTCTCTCCACACTTGCAAAGCCCAGCTCACAAGAATACCCAAAACAGAAGCAGGAGATGGCAGTCTCGAAGACTTTCCTCTAAGGGCTCTGCACAGTTCCTCCCTCCATTGTCTCTATCTTGTTTTAACTCACTCCAAGGAAATTTTAAACTCCCGCTATGCAGTTCTGGGTAGCCACCAAGCGACCATGATGGATTGGAATTAGGGATGCGTCAAACTGTACCCTAAATTGTATTGTCTCAGGTTCAGTCTGATCATCAGTATGATAATTTTAGCATTTTAAAATATTTAAAATGAGAGTAATACATATTTGAAAGTCAAGAAATTAACATTTTTACAGCTGATAGATCTGTATGGATGTGACGTTGCCTCTTCTCATACTCATCGACAAATATTGCATACCTGGCTAGAGGTATTCATACTCTACTCATTGTGTGCTGCACTTGCAGTGTTATCTTCCTTTGCTTTTCTTTAAAATTTCGAATTTTTACTTTCATTACCTAGGCCTTCACTACTTTGAAATCTTAAAATAATTACGCAATTCAAGGTTGATGTGGAGTTTTGCAACTGATTCTTCAGGACTATGTATTGGTCAAAGAGTGTACATGAGTGGTTATGAACTAAGATCATGATTTGTTATTTTTACTAATAGCAGGTAGGCATAGGTCTACATTAAATTTGGAATGACCATTCTGGATTGACGTGGAACTCCCTGGTGTCCATCAGAATTTGTATTGGTATAACTTATGACGTGATTTAAATTTATTCTCCATCTGATTTTGACACTTGGCTCTTGAATCGCACATTCTTTCGTTTGCCAACGGATTTTTTGTGACAGAAGCGGTTAGGAGATACTTATCTTTCCTTGTGTGTGTTGAAACCAAGTGCTTCACAAACTCTTAGGCCTAGGCCTATTAATAGCCTTGATAAATTATATGGTCATGTGGAAGCACTGGAAGAATGCTGCAAGCCTTATTCTTGGCTGGAAGAGAAAACCAGACATTGAGAAGCTGAAGACAGTTGAAAAAATCCTGTTGGTCCAACGTAGTGCTGGTAGTGAATTCATGGCTAATGCTCATGTCTTCCCTGGAGGAGTCATCTCTTCTGCAGATTTCGATCCAGAGTGGAAAAAGCTCTTTCACTCTTCAGATTCTGCTATTGAGGCTCTCATTAAATCTGATGAGAGGCAGTATGCATTCCCTCTGTATGAAGAATTTAAGAGTCAAGGCATCCAAAGACCAGGACTGGCCTTGAGGATCTGTGCACTCCGAGAGACTTTTGAGGAAACAGGGATTTTCTTGGGAAGGGCTATTGATTCTCAGTCACCAGTGATCCTGAGTGGTTCTGATGTTGGCGATTGGCCTAAGAAAGTAGCTCAACAAGCAGATAAATTCCTAGAATTCTGCCTCAGCTACAAATACTTGCCAGATGTGCTTAACTTGCAACAATGGACAAATTGGCTGACACCCAGTGACATGAAAAAAAGATATGATACCATGTTTTTTTCAATGACCATATCATCAGAGGAACCACCAACTGTGATTAAGGACTCTCATGAAATTACTAGCTTCAAGTGGCTTACTCCATTAGAGGCTTTGGAACTGTATTATAAGTCTGAATTCTGGCTTGCTCCTCCACAGTATTATGAACTTCTTGAAATGACCAGATGTGGAATGCCAGGAAATGATGCATCAAAGCAGGATCTAGTGAAAAAACGTAAGATGCGATGGCTGCCAGTCAGGATTAATACAACCAGTGGCGTCATTGTAGTGCTTCCTGGGGATTCCTTGTATCCAGAAGTACCTGATCTCACTGGAGATAAACCTGTTGCAAGTGTTGAGAATTCTATTGAAGAGCTGCGGTCTCAAAGTTCTCAGTTGCACAGGCTCGAAATGACGAGTTTGTATGATACTGCTGTGCAGTGCAATATATGAATGGTTGAAATGGATATGCCTATATATTATTCACTCCTGGAAATAAATGTGATATTCTTGAATGTATAGTTGCTGAGGAGAATGGAAAAATACATTATTAGAAAGCCAAAGGATGGCTCATTCAAAATCAGAGATATTGATGGTGCAAATCCCCTGAAACAGACTCAGCTTGAAATCTTGCCTGTAAGTCAAATTGATGCAATGGGTAATGAGCAATACAATGAAATTTAAGATTGGGAAGAGCAGAAAATATATTCTATTCCTAGGGAGTGGTGATCCTGGAAGATATGGAGAGACTGAACAACTTGGCTAGCATGGATGGATCCAGTCCTGATGATATCTGCAAATGCTTGGAGAAACTAAAAGGGAAGAAACCCTCCAAAGACATTCTGTTACGAACAGGAACTGGTAAATTTATATTTTCTTTGTGATGGATGAGGTTCTTTTCTTATGGAGAAGTAGTGCATTTATTAGTTTTGATAGTTATTTATTGTAATTATCAATATCTACCAGGGCTTCAGAGCTGGAATGGAACTTTTGATTTCACATGGAACAAAATGCTTTACAGAACGATATGAATGATGGCGAAGGAGCAATATAATGGAATTGAACTTTCTGCTCATACTGGTTTGTAACTGTTTATATCATTACACTGAGGACCTACCAAGAATATATCTGCATAACAAAGCTGACACTCACTTTCTGAGTCATGATAGAGAAGGGCTCCTCTTTCCTTTGTTGTTGTCGTTTTCTATTTGTGTTTCTTGTGTTTCTTTTTTCTTTTGCCTTAGGACATTGAGTCGGTTATCCCTGAAACTTTCACTCATGGCTTAAGAGGTGTAAAAAGCATGTCTTGTGTCATGCCTCGCAGGTTTCACCTGAGCTGTGTATACGTATGTTCAACAGTGTAGTTTTCTACTGTAGTATTTTCACTCTCATGACTATCTCATGAGTGGTGCTTTATGATATGTACCTCTGGTACAGTAGTGATATTTGATACAAGAATGGACTTTCTCACAGATGGTCAAACCAAAAGGTAACATAGTTTACAAGGGTTCTCGGACGAAATTGTCTGGGGCATTTTGGTCCCAAATGAGAAATCAGATGAAGTGGTACCTGCACTATAAATGTATGATGACAGCTCTTCAATAGTTAATGATAATCTAAATAATTGCATCATCTACTCTTTGCTACCTTCTAAAATGGCTGAAGAAAATTACCAAAACAAAACCAAAGTGATGACAATTTATATTTTATTGTTCCCTTCACACCTAGAAATCACCACTCAACTCTTAAAAGATATGTACCAAATCATGGTACGTAGTTTTCCCCCCCCCCCCCCCCCCCCCACCCATCCTTCCTACCCTCTTTGCTCACAACCACTCATACTCTCCTCCCCCTCCACCTGTCAATCTAGCTCAGGCTATATAGGGTGGTTAAAAAAAAAAACGCTCTACTGTTTCCTATGGGAGAAACATAGTTTAATAAATGTAGCAAATTTAAATTCAATACGTGATTGATCTTTGACAGTTACAAGGTGTTGAAATGGTTGCCAGCTTTTCTTCAGCACCCCTGCCAAAGTTGTGTGATGCTCATTTAGAGGTGAAGTAAAGGTGCTTAGAGTTGGATCATTTCACCTCAACTGATGTGATTGCCTGTGCTTGACCGTCTCATAATTCATTGAACTTTTTTACTTTAACTTTTCAAGGGACAGTTGGATCCTGCTGATGCCTGAGAGAGAGGTTCATGAGTCTAAAAGGTTTTTTTTTTCACTTCTGCCAGATGGCGCTGTATCTCGATAGAGGGCGTTGCTGTTGACCAGGTGACCGAGGGTGAAAAAAAAAGAAAAGCTCCACTGTTTTCAAAGGGAGAAAGTACGATTCGTGTATTCGAGTAAAAAATATCAGATTCATAAACTCTTGACATTTAACATATAGGTGTTGAGAAGATTGTCTTGGTTTTGGTTTCTAGACAATTCTCTGGGCCTTGTATTGTCCTGTTACATAGTTTACAGGTGGAGCATTACACCTTTTTTTTTTAATCACCGGCAATCATCCAGTCAACAACAGTGCCCTCTATCGGAATACAGCACCATCTTGTGGAAATAAAAAAAATAAAAAAACCTTTTAGACTCATGAACCTCTTTGTCAAGTATCAGCTAGATCTGACTGTCCCTTGAAAAGTTAAAGTTGAAAAGTTCATTGAATTATGAGATGTCAAGCACAGGCAATCACATCAGTTGAGGTGAAATGATCCACCTCTAAGCACCTTTAATTCACCTCTAAATGAGCATCGCACAATTTTGACGGGTGCTGAAAAAAAAGCTGGCAACCATCTCAATACCTTGTAACTGTCAAAGATCGATCATGTATCAAATTTGATTTTTTTGTTGCTACATTTATGAAACTGTGTTTCTCCCATAGGAAACCATAGAGCTTTTTTTTTTAACCACCCTATATATTATTTTAAAAATTTCTTCATCATCCCTTTGCTGTGAGTCGATGATTGATTTTACATTTGTGTTTAGTCGTAACCCAGTTGTCCTCGTTGCATTGTAGCTTCAGCCAAGCTAGATAATGACTGAACGGAGATGAGAATGAGATTTTAACATCCTTATCCTAGTCGTGGTTACTTAGTTGAAGAGTTTGGAAAAATATTAAATTGAGCATCTCCATTAACTCCAGTGGAACATCAACATCCCTCATGTGATTTTGTGGCAAATTATCATGGGATAAGTTGAGAATTACAACACTTTATGTTCAACTTCTGAAAGAGAAATCCCTTTGGATATTCGTTTTATTTGTGAACCTTTAGTATTGCTCTAACATAGAATATAGAAATAAGTATATCTTTGTATCATAGTCCTTAATAATTTCAACCTTCAAGGCAAGAAATAACTCAATTCACAAGTAGAAGATGCAGTTATTGAAATTATTGTTAACTCTTGATGAGCTGCCATCATACATTTATATTGCAAGTTCCATTTTGTCCAACTGTCAATTTCAGTGTCAATTTTGTTCATAAATATTTCCTCTATGATCCACATGAGGACAAGTTACATTGTCAGGTGAAGGATTGCCCACTTCCTAACATCAAAGTGAACCTCTTCATATAATTTTGACATACTGGGTGTGTGCATTGGAACTTTATTGATAATGTTATAACAGAATGAAATTTAATTACTTCTCAACATTAAAAAACACTATGGAACGGAATGTCTTCCCTACAGTTCTGATGCCCTGATATTTACCCTGATTTTGTATTCATAAATCAGGGAAGTTACTGTGATTTAGTATATTACTGGTTAGTCGAGCATCAAAATGGCTTTGGTGTTCCTCTGGAGGTTACAAATTTTAAGTACCAGTCCATTTATGTGTCTTTCTAGGGAAGGTGGTCCACCGTCTCTGTAGACATGAAGATAAGAGGGTTAGCAAACTGGCGCAAAAGATATACAAGAGGTGGAAATCACATATTTTTCGAACCCTGAGAGGGCCTCTTAAGGAATCTAAAAAGTCATGACTGTCAAAGGAGGATTGACCTGAACTGCAATGAAATGAAAATCAAGACCAATGTTGTGCAAATGGACCAGAAGACGATCTCAAATGAATGTGACGAGTCATGTTTTTATTTTTTTTAGTCAACAGTACTTCTTATCATGACCTTTGAATAATGAAGTATTTCACATGCTTGAATAAAAATTATATTTCATTTCCAAGTGCTTTGGCATGTCAATGCCAATGACCACAATAAATGTCATAATCACTGGGAGGAAAAAAACATGCATACCACACTATATAATGCCACACATGAAAACATTCAGAGCAAAATCCAGTCAACTTCTGGTTCCATGACCTCTCATTTCTCCACGAAAGAACATTTATTTTGCACGAACCTTGGTCTCTACATAGTTGAGAAGCCTGCAGCAGTTGCATGGGAAGTTTAGGTATGGGTTATCCACTTGCATCATTCGTACTGGACTATCCCCAGATTCCAGGCCTAAATGGATTGAAGAAAATATACACTTTCAAGCTCTGGAAATTTTTATGCAGCACATGACTATTTTAAAGGGGCATATTTATGAAACTATTTAATAGAATGAATTGGTTGCTATTGGATATAATGTAAGAAATTGGAAGTTGAGCTGAGTTAAGAGATGCCTTCAGATTGAGGTAATCATTGTTTTGATATGTCAAGGTTTTCCTAAGAAGTTAAAAAAAAAGGCATAACTAGATAAGAAAACTAGTTGTGCTGGAGAATAACTGTATATTTGGTGGGTGGAAAAAAATTGGCCCAATAATGTAACACATTTTATTTTTAACTCCATCTATAAAAGTTTATTCAGCTGCCCAATCTGAAGTAGTTCTCACAAAATGTATGGCTTTATAACATGTTTTGAATTGAAGCTGACATGAAATAGGTATTGTCTGAATCCCCATGACTCTCAATTTTTAATCAAAGCAGTCTTCATGGTAAATACAAGTCATAAAAATCAAAAGTACAGTATTCCAGACAGTGGTGGGACACCACAACTCAGTCTCTCTCCACTACAAAGAAATACAAAAAATACTGCCTGCAAATTTTGCAACACCCAACCACCTCCACAAAATATCATTGGCTGCCTTTTCTTCAAACTGTATTTTTAAACACTGGCACAGTCATCAGAAAAGCTTTGATTTAGTAGCTGAATTTTTTTTACTTCTCACGTCATCAGTAATGACCATAATGCTATGACTTTGAATCAAGCTTCACATGTATGTTGCCGATGTGCAATACTTTAGCAGAAATATATAAAAACTACCAATTCAACATTCACATGGTAAAGTTGTTCAGTGATATAAGAGTGCAGCAGCATATGGTGGAAATAACTTCAAGAACTCTTAAACCCAATGAAGGGAAAACAAGGATGGCACTACAGTAGGTAAGGCTCTGTCAATCAGTAAGCATCAACAATGCCTATATCATCTCCAAAGTAAGGGAAAAAAAAAACTTTTCTGCATTTGAAAATAGGGATCAGTATTGGGAGTCAAATGTCAGTGTCAGTCTTTGCATGTTTTCAGTTTCTTCAGTATTCCATCTCATTTTCAGAGATGGGAGGCCTTGTAAATTTCCAGGGATGGGGCTTGACCAGAACTTAGACCCTCTCCATTTTCACTTTCTGGTTCCATCTCAGTAATTGCTAAGTCTTGCTAAAGCAAAACAAATTTGGATTCAGATGAAATTTGACAAGTTTCTCATGTGCTCAGTCTGCACCATGTCAAGTTCATTGGCCTATGAAAAAATCTCCAGTAAGCAAAAATTGTTAGATTCTATGTTGGGACTATTTGTTCTTTTCAATTCTTGGTATAATGAAGACTTGATTGCACTGAAGCAGTGCAAAGTATGTCTTCAAGTAAAGGCTGGATTGCAAGGGGGTGGGGGGGAGAAAGGTTGAGTTCCTCGAAGGCAATGCTCTCACTCTCTCTGCATCTCATTGAAGAATGAATAGATGATTTGGAGCAGCAGGAGCACACTCATTCTAGGCTCTGTGGCAATACTGAGTTCAACGCAGCTTGCAAACAGCACACCAATGCATTAAAAAAAACTAAGTACACAAGGACTCACTGTTAGCACAAAGGCAGTGAAATTGGCAAATTGCATGAAGGAATGATCTCTGCAGAGGAGATAAGGCACGGGATACATAAACATCCATAGGGCTCTCTCCAAAGAAATCCACCACTTCTTCCTCCAGCTCTGCCAGAATACCCTGAGATGCAAAAGAGCAATGGTCTCAGCATAAGTCTTTCATATCCACTCCTTGATTTCTCTTGACATACAAGGGGGAGATGTCTTCTATGAAAGAGAGTCCTGAGACTCTGGTTTATCCTCAGATAGGCCTCGGCCTCTCCTCCCATGTATCCAGGATGATTGGCTGTCTTGTCTTCACTTGAAGACTTTCTGACATTCCTTCTTTCATGATGGCTCTCTCCATCTGAGCTCTTTCTTTTCTTCTGCATGCCAAGCATCTCCATCTGTTCTTCCTCACCCAGGTCCACAAAGTGATTCCATGCCTATAACAATTATAGCAGCAAATTTGATTCCCCTATGCTTCATCGTACCATCAGTTCCTAGAGGTGATATTAAGTAGTAACTAGTGGTCTTTGGTGGGAGAGACTAACCTCCATGAGATCATGCTTCTGAAAAAGCAGAGCAAATCCAGAAGCTGAACCTTCAATGAAGTGGTGAATGTCTAGTTCCTCAAAGTCATCATCTATTAGGTTTATCAGGTACATGGCTGCAAAGACATAAAACATAACATAAAAGGTATTATACTTAATCCTTTCAGACCTGGCATCCATTCCAATGGACATTACATTTACATTGTGTCTATGGCAATTTCTTAGGATTCTCGTGACTTTGTGCTCCATATTATGCTACAAAGGGCGCAATTATGCATGGCTCAGTTCTGTCAGAGGCCTTCTTTCATCCATTAGTTTTGTAATCTTCAGTTATTTAAATAAATGTTTAATATATAATAAATGGTATGATATGGTAAATTTATACAAATTACGAAAATTATATATAAAGCATGAAAATTTAAATTACAGTCACAGAGAATCTCAAAAATGCAAAAAAGATATTATTCCAATAGTGGCCTTAATTCAGGTCTGAAAGGGTTAAGGCTAAGATAGAAATTCATAGGAAAAGGTCATCTAGTGTCATTGTCATATGTTACCATTTAATGATAGATCAGGATTTTGATTTCAATTGAAAAAGGAAACTTTTCATGAAAAATCAACCGACCAGTTGCTTCAAGCTGTATTTTCAAAATTGCAAAGGGTGGGTCTCAAAAAACCTTATCCCAAAGAGAGAAATTTTTATCCTTACATAAGATATATTAGCATGAATGTATGGAACCTCATCCAGTTGGCCTTAGCAATACTGTAATAAAAATTTCTTAGAAAAAAAGTCAAGAAATTTAAAAGGAGTGAAAAAAAAAGACAAGGCATGGTATGATTCATACCATTGTCATAACGTCGGCCCCTCTTCCCACGACCAGTTGTGGAACCAACACCAGATGGATGAGCATAAGTATGAACCCGATGTCGTCGGGTTCGGATACGAGGGGTTGATGGGATGTAGAGGAGCTCTGACTCAGCATCCCCATCCTCCGACTCCAACCTCAGGATACACAGATCCCATTGTGCATCCTACCATTGCTATCCATTTCAAGACAGCAAATTTGGATAAGGCTCACAGTTCTGGTGGAATCGGATCAGGATCCACCTGAATGGGTCGACGAGTACGGGAGTCCGAGTCACCTGGAGTCCTGATCACCCCCATTTTGAATAAACCTATTTCCTCCCTCCTAATTGGATAATACAGCTCTCACTCCAGCTTGTAATACCTTCAAATGTAAATTATGCAGCATTAATACTAAACATACAAGCAACAGTGGACTATTTCATGGAAAACTTTTCCTTGTCATTCAATGCTTTCTTTGAGAATAATTGGGAAATCATATTATGAGGAATTAATTGCAACAGGTTTTGAGTTAACTTCAGAGACATTTAAAAACTTATACTAAACTAATTCTTCCTGGTACATCTCCTTCATGACCTTCAATTTTAAATGGTTCAAAAGGGTGAGAAGGGTCAAATTTCTCAAACTACAGTAACAAAGAGGAAATTTGATTTTGCATATTATGACCACTTTTATAATGAATCTCATATCATGTGAGACTCAGGGCATTGACAACTCAAGCCCCCAGCAGCCATAGGGAAAAATTCAGTTGCTTGGATAAGAAAAATAATATGGAACAGATTGGCAATAGAAACAGTTCATTATATGAACGTCAAATAGGCCTATATCACAAGAGATGAAGTCACCTCAAAGATTCATCACAGCTAGGATGACCCAAGCAAAACAAGGCTGAAGCTTTGTAAATGTTAGTCAAGTGACTCAAACAAACCAGGAAGTCAAAGCCACATGGACATGAATTCACATGCTGATGAGATCCACCAGATTACCCTTAGGCTGAGTCATTTCTTCTGGAAACAGCAAGACCAAGGAATCATACAAAGCAGTGCGAGACCTGAAATGTGCTGGAGTATTAACTTCTTCTTGGAAGATAGTTGGTTGTTGACCTATGTCATCACTTTCTGGTGTAGATGGAAACAGACTAGCAGCTAACTGATGAAATTCTGTGATATTCTCATTCACAGAATGGTCAATCACTTCAGCCAAGGATGTCTGGAGGTACATAAGTGCTGACACTGTGTTTTCTGATGCCAGTTCATGAAATCTCTGTTTGCGAATGAGGAAGCGACACTTACGAAGCAACTGCTCCTTACTCAAACGAGAGAGATGGAGAGACCAAAAGTCATCAAGGCGAAGCTTTGGCAGGCAAGGTCTACCAGGATTCCCTCCAAACAAATAATGTATCTTGTGGACTTCATCATAGACCAATTGATGAGCATAACGAGGGCATGGTTCCTTCTGAATCTTGTCTGAAAGTGCCTGGTTTGAAGCATCATTTTTGTAGACACAAGACCATCGGTTTTCAGAAAGATCAAACACCCAAAGAGAATTCCGAACTCCATTCCATCTCTTGTCCTTCTCCTTTGAAAGCCCAGACAACATATGGATCTCATTGAGCTCAGGATCAAGAGTTGCTCTTTGGGTCACACCAGTCAATGGCACTTCTGCCTCCTCAACTTCTTCCAACCCATCTGTGTCCACTTTGTAAATGTAGAAATCTTTGAAATACTCCTTGCTACGCTGACCAGCAAAGATGTACAGCTCCCTCTTGGTAGGATGAAAGAGCATAGAATGACCACTTCTTGGCCTGATGGACATCCGTTCTGGGGACACTTCATCACGAATCTTTCTCCAAGTATTTGTAGAGACATGGTAGGCATACAGACCAGAATAAAGAGCCTCAGTTGTAGCCTCATTTCCTGACTCCGGGGATTGAACAACACGACCACCAAAGACATAAATGCACCTTCCTTCTACATCCATGCACATCTGATGGTCAAAGATCAATGGGGGTCCACCCATAGACAAAGTGTCATCCATAATCAACACCCATTTTCTTGACTCAATGTCATACATGTAGAAATCACTTTGGAAGCTTTTTGGACCTTGTGTATTGGCATCAATATACCGTCCCAAGGTAAATATCTGCTTGCGTTCAGGATCAAGGCACACCTTATGACATGAGCGGGGAGAGGGGCCACCATCTGCCTCTGTGTCTCGACTTAGGCATATCCAACTTTTATCAGGGATTGAATATGCCCAGAAGTCACTCAGATCCTGAATCCCATCCCAGCCAGCAAATAAGTAAATAGTCTCTGACTTCACATCAATGCACATTTGATGTCCCCCACGCATCCCAGGCCTCATGGAAGAATTCATCTCCTTCAAAGGTGGAGTCAAACGCTCCCAAACGGGTTGATACTCCTGGCGGCTCAAATAGGAGCTAAATATGCCTTTCTCAAGTAGTTCTGCCAAGAGCTGCTCACATCTGTCAAAGTCCCCATCAACCACAAGTAACTTATGGAGTTCAGAAAGGAGAGGATCCTCAAACTGAACTCTGGCCTTGGTATGCTTCCGAAGCGCATGGAAGACATCCATGTAGTTTTGCTGCCGAAAATGCTTCAGACAGAGACGAACTGCTTCATCCTCTCGATATGTGTTATACCAATTCATAGAAGGCTTCACAACATCCCAATCATCAATTCCATGCAATTCCACATACCAAATACTGTAATTAAAACTCGGACCCCAGGACTGCAACGGAACGATTTTGATAAAACGGCATGGAAACACATGGCCACTAATGACATGCTTCAAGCGGAAGCTCTCAGGGGAACTATCATTGCGCAATCCTTTTTCAAGAAGCTCAATCATGTGTTCATCACTCAGACCACCAAGCACCTTGAATTTTTTCAAGTTGCAAACATGAGTCTTCTCAAACTTCCCAAACAAAATAGACTTCACAATGGCAGGCTTTTCAAGCTTCAAAACCAAAAACTGAGGAGGGCTGTTAGAGTCAGAGGACCACCGTGATGACTGATCTATGGGCTTGTTCTCCATGATGTTCCCAGGTGCATATGAGCCTGAGAAACTGGAGCATTTGTGAATAGTATACTTCAAAACCTTCTCCATGGTATGTCTAAGATCAGACCAACAGCAAATGCTGTGCCTTGAACAGGCATCCACAGACCTGCAGATTTCAAGCAGAAAGTCTATTACATAACAGATTGTGCTATATATACATTCACATTAACAAAAGATAAGATTACAAAGATATAAGAAAACTTCAAACGTAGGTAAATCTGTGACCTTGAAGTGGATTCAATTTCCTCCCTTATCCAATCATCCTCTCGGGGATACCACAGACCAATACATATATACCTCATCTTCCGGATCGAAATGTGCGTTTTCGCAGGCTACATGCCCGTTTACCTCCACTTTCATCGGAGACCTACTTCTACAATGCCTTAGTTCCATACGTGAATGATCGCCCATTTCTTCGGGAGCGATTTTCCACTTCCTAAGTTAGGCTTCGGAAACTTTAGGAAGTTTCTTAAGCTATTCCTGAATTTTTGAAAATTCTGTTTCCATATTCATGACTTTCGAGGTTGCCCAAAGTGTGGAAACCCTGACATAGCCAAAATAAGTTATGAGATAAATGGAGAACTGGAACGAATGAAGCAATCAACAATGTAGGCAGCCATGCTCCGAAGGGCCTATTCGATCGTGAAGGACAAATCGGGCCAAAATCTCATTTTAACATTGGCAAATTGGTCAAGAAATCAGAATTTCTCAACTCAGATTCGCGAAAAGAAATGGGGCTCTAATACTGAGGGCATCTATTAGAAATGTGAGAATCGATAGAGCTACGAAAAAGGTGCATATTTTTCGAACTTTGCAGCCTCTTTTTCACCATTTGGTTACAAAGAAAGCCGTCAAATTTGCACGCCCAATCATCCCCACCAATATAATTTGTCATCATCTTTGGTGCGGTCACCAATATTCCCACTTGAAGAATGAAAAGACTGAATTTCCTAATTTTCTAAATAAAATAAAATAAATGGGTTGTAACGCTCTGCAAATAAATGCAAATTCTGCCTCCTTGCGATTTTAACTTTAATATTGATCAACTCTCCAAGAAAAAATGGCTCTGCTTTTAGTAATTTTTTACGCGCAGCTGCTCTGTCAAGATGAAGTCTCTGCAATGTCCTCACGATTACGGTTCAGAAGCTCTTTTAATAAATAATAGAATCCTTTTGTAGTACCAGTACAGCACTTGTCGGTAGTTTTGGGGAGGGGGGGCCCGGTCGTCCAAGTATCTCAGAGAGCTGATTGAAGAAGACTTGAGTCACAATCGCCAGAGAGGAACTCAGAAAGGAGTCCTTTCATCGATTTTTCTCTGGACAGAATGGGTTCCTTAGAATCTAAATTTAAAAAAAAAAGAAAGAAAAGAAGTTGGATTCTGGTTCCCGGGAGGGGGTTAAATAAATACCTCTGAGTTCGATGGTGGGCTGTTCCTCGGATGCACTTCGTTCACTGTCGCGGGTCTACCATGTTTCGATACGTGCCAAATTACGTCGAAGAGTGAGTGCGAATCGAAGAGCAAGTTTGTTGCTTTATGCTGCTTCTCCTCAGGGCCGACCCAAGTTATTTGGCCCTCCCCCCCCTCAAAAGGAAGAAGGATCGATCCCTTGCGTCCAAAAAAGCGTCGAAACAGAAGGCATTTCCACTTTCTGAAGTAAAACTGAGAGTGACATCCATTATTGCTTCATTCATTCTGGCACGTTTCAGCGCCCCTGGTGAATTTGCGCCGTGTGCGGGGTTACATGTGGCATACGCCTAAGGCCGGTCCTGCTTCGAGTTCAGCCTCTTCGATTTTTTTATTGTAAAGTTGTTGCTGGAAGAAATTTCTCGAAGCCCTTTCCGATGCCAAGTTTCGCAGCTTTTTCACATAAGAATATGGCAAATTTTTAAGCTGTGGCATTTCCATAAACACTGACGACGGACTGTGAGTCTCTGAAACTCTGAGTCGACGGACGCACGGACGCACAAAGAGACCGAAGCGATTACACAATGCTACATTATAAAGCATTCCCCGGAGATTTAATGCCACATGCTCCTTCCACTTCCAACTCTTTCTCAAAAGGGCTGGAAGAGGCACGCGATTGGTCCGTCGACTGTCTACAGTAGAGGCCTCTGCAACACAAAAACAGTGAAAATAGATCTAGATCTGGAGCATATTTGAAGGAAATGTCGAACTTGAAACCGATTTGGAGTGAGCCTCGATCACCAGGAAACCAATGTCTATCCCTGCTTTACAAAACTTAGTGACAGTAACAATAAGATCCCCGTCCGTTTCCCGTTAGGGTTGGTCACGAGCAGCATTGAAACCTCTCCACTCATCCCCATCCTTGCACACCTCTCCGGCTTCAGTCGCGTCCATGCACCTTTTCACGCACGCTCTCCTGTCTTTCAGCTCTTTATTCGCTTCGTCTAGCCAAGTCTTCCTTGACCGACCTTCCGTCCATCCGCGACAGCTTCATACACTCTCTTTGTCAATTACCTTTCGTGTCAATTGCTCACCTTTCGTCCTACACATGACCGAACCAATCCATCATTCCCAATCCATCTCATTATTCAGCAGGAAAGCTCATACATTTTCTGTACTTCATGGCGCTTTTTCAAAGGAGTCATGCAGCTCGTGTAAAGTTTCATTCTAATTTCTCGAAGAATTTTGGTAAATTTGGTATGATTCTCCCGCCGCTATAAGGGAACCCATCGGAGACAAGAGCTTATCCTTTTCATTCACCTCATGCCAAATCTGGCGCGGTGGGATTGTAGATGTGGGAGTAGATTTTAATTTTTTGTTAGGCATGTTTCACCCTTAAATTCCTTGATTACGCTGGGAAGCCACCAAAATATATCCATGGCAACTAGCTGTCCCATTGCAGCTGCTTTTGCCGAAATTAAAAATTAATTTGCATATTGGGTGATTTAAACGTTTCCATGCAAATATGACAGAAAATTGCTCGATTCCTAGAGGAAGCCCCCACGGCCCCCCATAGCCTCCTTAAAGCCTCCCTCTTCTCAAAGCCCACTTTCGACAAAAACTTCGGCCTAATAATTTGCCCATGTTGTTCTCACGAATTCCATGACAGGCGAAATCATATCGGAACTTCCCCCATCCTTTCCCGTAGGATCTCATCTAAAACAATAATAAAACGCTCTCTCTTTTGTTTCTTTGGTAATGAGCCTGTACATAATAAGGTATCGGTTTATAATGTTAGGACCAAGGCGTTCCAGCACGCCTTCTAGACGGGCGAAAACGCCAAAGCAAACGAGCGAAACCGCGAGGGCGATGTCCATCTCGCCGGGAGAGACATCTATCGACAGTGGGGAGAAACGGCTGGGAATCTCCTCGGAGTCTTTGTCCCCCTCGGCCGAGTGGAAGCTCAGTCTCTCTCCATGCGTCGTGCACGGGGGCACGGGGCTTCCTGATGGCAAGACCAGAGAGGATTTGTCCACACCAAAAATTTCATTTCATTCTCTTATTTCGCTCATATTCCTCTTTTCTCTCATTTTCCGCATTTCTCTCATTTTTCTCATTCGTCGGTGGTTGTTAGATTCCATTGCTGCGATTAAATTCTCGATGCATGCGGCTCAGAAATTCGATAAACATAGACGAACCGCACTTAGCTCCGCAGCCCCAAAGTCTACAAACACGCCAGATCGCGTCGGATCGAATTGCATCTTGTCGCTTGCATCAGTGATTCACGACCGACTCGACGGAATTGACGGGAATATTACTCGAAAACCGGGACGAGGCCGCCTCGATCATCGAGTCCGACGAAGCAATCGATCCTCTATTTAATATTAATTAATTATTATTATTAGATCTATTAGTCGGGAAGAAAAGCAAAGCTCGGCCGAAAGTTCAGGGTTTCTATTTAAGATATTAAAAAAAAAAACTCACATTGAGAAGAATCCGAGGTTGAGATTCCTGCACTAAGCACTTCATTCGATGGATGCTGTGATGGATGCCATGATGGATGGCGTGATGGATGGCGTGATGGATGGCGTGATGGATGTCCTATCCATCCAGTTTCCCGATATTGCTCCCATTATCCGAGCCAGAAAACGATCCGTACTCGTTCAGGTCTATACATGCTTTGGAGCACCCTGTAATGCCATCGTAATTTCGGTGTTATGTCAATGTTATGTCAATGCTATGCTATTGTAATGTCAATGAAATGTCTTACATGTCGCGATCAATTTTAGCCGTATGGGGTCCCTCGCATATCAATTTGAAATATTGGAAGCGATTTTGGAGCAGCTCGTCTTTCAGTTTTGCGCAGGTGGCTTCTGTGGGTCGGGTGGACGGAGACTGGTACTGCAATTACTGATAAGTACTTGTTAAAAGATCCAAATATTTCACTCGAGCAAAGACTGCTGACATCGTGAAGCGGAGTCCCGATGGTATCTCCGCAGAGCAAATGTGCTGAGCTCAACGTGACAGTACTTCCAATGAAATACTTCCAATAGAGTACTGCAGAAACTTAGAAAAGAAATTAAAATCGGAAAGGGAGAATTCGCTCCATGCATTGATGGAAGGTAGGACTTTGTGATTCAAATTGTTTTTCGTCTGGCTCACAGTCCTCGTAGACGACCGAAGAGGTAAACCGGTCGGACGGGGTGCGTCCAACAACAGGTTCCGAAATTTTATTCCTTGAATTCATTTCGATATGGGGAGAAATGACGCGTTTTCGGGGAGCTTTTGGCGACCGCGGGGGATCGGCCTCGCGAGATCGCTCGCGAGGTTCGTGAAGGGCGAAACTCGCGAAAGTCGAGGCGATTCGCTTGGATTCGGTCGGATTTCGATGCCAAAAGGCGTCTATCTCCGTCGTGGGTCCCACGCGATACTTACTCTGTTTTGGGCTATTTATCTCCGCCCTATCGCAGCGGCAAACAGTCGCCCGCTTATCCTGTTAGCGACCGAATTGTTGGGAAAAGCGCGTGGGTGAGGCTCGCCGAAAGGAGCAGATAAAGCGCCGAGATCCCGCATCCCCCGCGGGATATCTGGAGACTTTGCAACAACAACAAAAAAAAACGGAATGGCGGAATCGGCGAGAGGGAATTTGCGATAGGGCTGGGGAAGGTGGACGGGGGAGACGGGTGGGAGGTGGACGAGGGAGACGGGGGAAGGTGGAGCATGCGGGGGCATAGAGACGCCTCGCGGCCCGAGCATCAATCACGATAAACAACGCATTTTTTTGTTATTATTTACGCACACGCACGCGTCGGTTCTCTCTGTCGACGGTGGGTCGCCCCACGACCCGAATCGTTTTCAAAGACGCCTCCGTCTCATCGATGACGCACATCCAGGTTC